AAATGTTTATATCTTATAAAAACATGCAAAAGAAATATTTAAAAAGTTCACAAATAACCAAATTACAGGTCGATTCCGGTAATCCATCGCCTATTCCGACAGGTTTCCCGTTTTTGCCGATCTTCAATATTAATCTTTTTATTATTATATAACAGCGATTTTTCATAAATCTTTTGCTTCTTATTTAATACCGATTTCAATAAACATTATAAAAAATCTTTTAAATTGTTTGTATTTAATAAAATAAGTCAAGGTTATTTTTTAAACGTTGAAATATTGGTGGGGGAAAACAGACCGATTCCGGTAATTGTCCGATAGCCCTGGCACTGCATATAATTATGCGATATGGCAGTAATTCGCCGACCATAGATCTCTAGCTTATTATTATGCCCCCTTTTGAAAAAAAGGGGGTATATTGCTTTGCACTTGTCGGTCCGTCGGTCCGTCGGTCCGTAGACCAAATGGTTTCCGAGTGATAACTAAAGAGAACCCTTAGGCCTAGGAACTTCAAACTTGGTATGGTGATTGGTCATGACAAGTAGATGACCCCTATTGATTTTGGGGTCAAGGGGTCAAAGGTCAAGGTCACATTGACCTTGTAAGCAAAAACGGTTTCCGATCAATAACTAAAGAACCTTAAGGCCTAGGAACTTCAAACTTGGTATGGTGATTTGTCATGATCAGTAGATGACCCCTATTGATTTTGGGGTCAAGGGTCAAAGGTCAAGGTCACATTGACCTTGTAAGCAAAAACGGTTTCCGATCAATAAGTAAAGAACCTTAAGGCCTAGGAACTTCAAACTTGGTATGGTGATTGGTCATGATCAGTAGATGACCCCTATTGATTTTGGGGTCAAGGGGTCAAAGGTCAAGGTCACATTGACTTTTTGGGTAAAAACGGTTTCCGATCAATAACAAAAGAACCCTTAGGCCTAGGAACTTCAAACTTGGTATGGTGATTGGTTATGACCAGCAGATGACCCCTATTGATTTTGGGGTTAAGTGGTCAAAGGTCAAGGTCACATTGACCTTGTAGGTAAAAACGGTTTCCGATCAATAACGAAAGAACCCTTAGGCCTAGGGACTTCAAACTTGATATGGTGATTGGTCATGATCAGTAGATGACCCCTATTGATTTTGAAGTTAAGGGGTCAAAGGTCAAGGTCACATTGACCTTGTAGGTAAAAACGGTTTCCGATCAATAACGAAAGAACCCTTAGGCCTAGGGACTACAAACTTGATATGGTGATTGGTCATGATCAGTAGATGACCCCTATTGATTTTGGGGTCAAGGGGTCAAAGGTCAAGGTCACATTGACCTCTTAGGTAAAAACAGTTTCGGATCAATAACTAAAGAACCCTTAGGCCTAAGAACTTCAAACTTGGTATGGTGAATGGTCATGATCAGTAGATGACCCCTATTGATTTTGGGGTCAAGGGGTCAAAGGTCAAGGTCACATTGACCTCTTAGGTAAAAGCAGTTTCCGATCAATAACTAAAGAACCCTTAGGCCTAGGAACTTCAAACTTGGTATGGTGATTGGTCATGACCAGCAGATGACCCCTACTGATTTTGGGGTTAAGGGTCAAAGGGAAAGGTCACATTGACCTTGTAGGTAAAAATGCTTTCCGATCAATAACTTAAGAACCCTTAGGCCTAGGAACTTCAAACTTGGTATGGTGATTGGTCATGACCAGCAGTTGACCTATTGTTTTTAGGGTCAAGGGGTCAAAGGTCATGTAACATTGACCTTGTAGGTAAAAACGGTTTCCGATCAATTAACTAAAAACGCTTAGGCCTAGGAACTTCAAACTTTGTATGATGATTGGTGGTGACCAGCAGATGACCCCTATTGAGTTTTGGGTCAAGGGGTCAAAGGTCAAGGTCACATCGACCTTGTAAGTAAAAACGGTTTCTGATCAATAACTTAAGAATGCTTAGGCCTAGGAACTTCAAACTTGTATGGTGATTTTTCATGACCAGCAGATTACCCTTTCGATTTTGGGATCAAGGGGTCAAAGGTCAAGGTCACATTGACCTTGTAAGTAAAAACGGTTTCTGATCAATAACTAAAGAACACTTCGGCCTAGGAACTTCAAACTTGGCATAGTGATTGGTCATGATCAGCAGATGACCCCTATTGATTTTGGGGTCAAAGGTCAAGGTCACATTGACCTTGTATGTTAAAATGGTTTCGGATCAATAATAAAAGAACCCTTGGGCCTAGGAACTTCAAACTTGGCATGGTGATTAGTCATGACCAGCAAATGACCCCTATTGATTTTGGGGTCAAGGGGTCAAAGGTCAAGGTCACATTGACCTTGTAAGTAAAAACGGTTTCTGATCAATTAAGTAAAAACGCTTAGGCCTAGGAACTTCAAACTTTGTATGATGATTTGTCTTGACCAGCAGATGACCCCTATTGAGTTTTGGGTCAAGGGGTCTAAGGTCAAGGTCATGACCAGTAGATACTTGATAACCCTTATTAATTGTTTGATCACTGGGTCAGATGTCATGCATAATTACCTTATCACATGAATAATTGGCTGCTGATAGGGGGCATACATGTTTTACAAACATATCTTGTTTAATAAGGATTCTTCATTTACAGAAATCTTTTTAGATATCTATTATATTGTTTGCATTTTTTTCTTGCAAAGTCCATAAATTACAATAATACAGGCCGATTCCGGTAATCATTCGGCTATTTCGGCTGTATGACAGTATATGTAACTCGCCGATCTTCGATCTCTTGCTTTATTAACCAAAGGCGAATTGAAATTTACAAAATAAAAGAATGAAAGAAACTTTTAAATATCATTCATAATATTTATATTTTATAAGACGAATATTAACAATGCAACAGAAACGTTAAAAATGTACAATAGACTAAATTATACGTCGATTCCGGTAATCCTTCGCCGATTCCGACAGTATGGCAGTAACTCGCCGATATTAAATATCTTGTTTAATTAATAAAAAGTGATTTTATTGACAATAATCTGATTACATATCATTGCTATTGTTTATTTAATATCAAGGGTGCAAACATTTTGTTTAAAGTATAAAGATAAGCAAATTACAGGCCGATTTCGGTAATCCTTTGCCGATTCCGGCAGTTTGCCCGTTTTCGCTGATCATAAATATTTGTTTATTATTATTATTATTATTTAAAAGCGATTTTTTTCACAATCTCTAGGAAGATTAATGATAATATTTAGGTTTTATAAAAACATGCAAAAGGAACATTAAAAGTTGCATAAACAACGAAATAACAGGCCGATTCCGGTCACGGGCAGTTTGGCAGTAGCTCGCCGATATTAGATCTCTTGTTAAATTAATCAAAAGCGATTTTATTTATAAAAATCTTTTCATAAATCATTTATATTGTTTATATTTTATAAAATTGCAAGTAAAAACTTAAAAAGTTTAATTATTACAAAGTTACAGGTCGATTCCGGTAATTCACCGCCGATTCCGGTCGATTCCGGTAATTCGGCCGATTCCGGTAAGTCGTGTAACCCCAAGTCAACAGACATTTTTTTATTTTTTCAAAATGCTACTTGTTTATGAGCAATAACTATTAGACGTCAGGCTTGACCAACATAAAACAATAACAAGCCTGAAACGTCTAACCTATTGGGACTAGTAATATTTATGACAAAAGAATCAAAATAAATGATACAAAATAAAGATTCAGGGAAATTTAAATTTTTTGACTGCAGTTGTGATTTATGGGTAAATAGATCGATACAACGGGGTTCCAGGCTAAGTAGGCATGTTTATCAGTGTAATGTTTATCTAAATGAAGTATACAAGATTGATTTAATGCAGAATCGGATGCAACTGCAGCTTCAAATGAATTATTTGAATAACAACTTTCCATTACATAAAACATTGTTCAACTGAATTTTACCAAATTGTTTAACTTAACACACAAACAAATATTGATGAATTGAATGGGATGCCATTAAGCTTCAAAATTTGAAAGTCGGAGACTGCAAAATCTCTGATATTGGAAGTCACATTACATAGGTAAAGAAGGGTAAGTATTAGATTTGGAAGTCATAAGCCTAAATCAAGGAGTAAATGACTCCCAAACTTCCATTAATGGAGGCCCTTGACTGGTTTAATAATGTGTCACAAAGTGACAAGTTATTTTTTTACCTCTCCATCCTGCATCCAGAATGCAATGAATTTGCGGAGGACGCAAAGTAAAAAGCGCTTGAAGTGTTTGAATTTAGTTTATAGATTTGTTTGAACTGAGTAAATACATTTGTTGTATTAAATAATGTTGCAGCATTCAAATATGTTTTTGATTAATTACTAAAGTGACTTTCAGATCATGATATAAAGGTTTTGTTATAAAATTCAAGAGGTCTTTCTTTAAAAGGCTGTGTTATTTCTGTGTAATAGCCCGCACCTATGATAAATAAATCAAATTTAGATGTGTGTCCCATGCCTGTTACACACAATGTTAGAGGTGCTTATTTAAAATGTCACAGAGCAATAAATTGCCAAAATATCACAACCGTTAAAACACTTGGTGTATCTATAGCAAGCAGTCCACTTAGCCAATAAGCATTGCTTTGGAAGTCTTCCAGATATTATTAATGAATGCAGTCATGTCATTGGAAAAAGTATTTGAAATTGACAAACAAGATAAGAAACTCAAAATTTAGACAGTGAGAGTAGTAAAGGGGTGGGATGGGACTTTCTGGATCATGGATGAAATATAAAATGTTTTGAATTGTTATTATTGAGAAATCACTGATGCATAACACCAGTGTGGTTTCAAAGTTGCAGGCATTCATTCAACTTGCTGGCAACACAGTACCACTGTTACTGTTCATTGGTAGAAAGGATTCTAGTGTTCATAATCTGAATGTTTCAGTTTGTGAGTTGCTCATTACCATACAACATGGAGTAAGACTTACCAGAATATTCTTTCATTTTAGACTTTTAATAACATAACTTGATAAGATTATTATTATTTACAGTTAGATCCTTCGGAACAGAAGATCGTCCTACTGATCGACCTGTAGCACCAAGAGATGAGATATTTGAGTATATCATATTCCGTGGGAGTGATATCAAGGATCTGCATGTGTGTGAGCCCCCAAAACCTCAACCATTGCAACCATTGCCTCAGGACCCAGCTATTGTAAAGGTAACATTGAAATTTCAATTCAGAAAGCTTTATTGTAAAGTTTATTCAGCTTTGAAGCAATGTTTATTCAGCTTTGAGCTTTTTGCAATGTTTTGAAGCTATTCACATTGAAATAGGTGGCAGAATTATAAGACAACACATTAAATTAGTTTTTATAAAAAGTCATTGAATTTCCAATCTGTAAATTGGACAAAAATTTGTGTAATCAAATAGATCTTTTAGATACTATATGATAAAATGCAGGCAACATGTTCATATTTTTATTGCCTTTTCAATGCAAAGGAGAGTTCACAAGTTAAAGCATATTGTACAACATTTATGGCCATGTTTGTATTTCATTCAAGTCATCTCAGCCCACCCCCGGTGGCTCTTTCCAGCAGCAAAGTTCAGGATTTGGTGGAAATGCCTCAAGTTCATACCAGCCTTTCAGTGGTCCATCATTGTATGGTGGTCAGTATGGCGGAGCACCTGGAAACCAACAAGGGTATGGAGGACCTTTGCCCTCAGGAGGGCAACCAGGTAAGTAACAGAAAATATTTGTTTACCTGAAAATGGCTTGTAGACTTTAATTCAAGTAAACTTTTCACATACAGGTCTCTTCGAAAAGGCTGCTTTTGTAATCTTTTAACCAAAGTGTTAAAAATTGAGCTAAAATGATGTCTTGTTAAACCACAAGGGAGATTTGATCAAACTATTATTTAATCCAAATCTAATGGATAGGCCCAATGAAGCTGTAAAATATATTTCAAAAACTGTAATTCTTAAAAAAGATCTGTAAGTTTGTTAATGGGACCTCCAAACATGTCACAGCTAGGCCACTGTTAAAAACAGGCATAATTAAACTTTCTTAAAATGATAACTATAGTATTTACCTTCTACAAAAATACCAACTTTCCTTGTTATTCATGTAAATGATAATTAATGCCACAGAGGTCACTTGCTTGTATTGTCGGGGGTATTCAACAATAATGAATAGGTGCATATATTCACATAGCTAAGACAAGTGTCAGAAAAATTATTCTTTATGCGTAGGAATAAAATCAGATGAAATCGAAGAGAAAATAATGAGGTTTGACAAACACAGTTTTTGAAATTTATAAAAATATATCAAATTTATATTTACTACAAGGCATATTGCACTTTGATCAGTAACTGTTGCATAGGCTTTATACAAGATCACAGTACTGAGTTGTTATACCTCACTTGGACTGATGTTGCTTGACTAAGGCATTTGCATCTATAACATTTATTAACAACCTGTAGTATAGTATATGAAGCCAATTTTATGTCTTGATCACCTTAAAACCGCCTTAATTTTCTAAGTTAATAGTTTTTTAAATTGAACAGAGCAGTACTGAAGAAAGAACCAGTGATAGTTAAAAGAATATAGAATTCTTAGCTTTTCTGTGCATCAAGGGCTCATAAGAGCTTTTAGGATCAATGACTGTTTGTTGTCCGTCCACAATTATTTATCTGCACAATTTGTAGTTTCACTTTGAACCCAACTTGCATATACTTATAAAGCTTGTATCACCAGTAGATTAATAATATCTGTCATATGTTGCGGTTCAGACTGGAATATCTGTCCCCGAGGGGACCCGCCCGTAATGAGGCTTGCCGAGTTACCTCCCATGGGCGGGTTCCCGAGGGATGAATATTTAGGTCCGAACCGAAAACACATGTCAGATTTTTTTCTTGCATATTCTGCCATATTATTTCATATTTAAAATGGTTTACACCAATATGATATATGTTCATGGAAATTAAAGTCATTTCATCCATAACAATTTTCTTACAATAGTTATGAACTTACAACTTAAATAACAACGGCGAAATGACATCATCCTAAGCACATATTTCCTTCTAAAACGACATCATTTTAACGTGGTTCATTCATTAAGCGCGCTAAAATGACGTTGTTGTTTGGCACGCGACTCATCTGGCACCCCCCATGCCAGATGAAATTTCCGGCATGGGTAAAAGTCCCGGAAACACCAGTCTGCTATGCAAGAAAAGTGATTCTGTCATGATTTCCAGAGTTATATCCCCTGAAGGAACCAAATAGGCATATTTTACCATGTCTTCATGGTGTTTGGTTTTTTGCTTCTTGGCTAGATATTTCTAGTTCTTGTCCTGAAGCCATCATTTTTGTACTCTTTCATGCATATTCATAATTGGGTTTGTAGGTTCTGCACATGGATCTTTTACCCTTTGTGGAGTTCAAGATCTCACAAGTATAAAAATAGGTTTTTCTACTTTTGTTCAAAAATGTAGTAGTATATATATTCATTCGGGTGAGCAATAAAAAGGCCACCATGGCCATATTGTTTAAAGTTAGTTAAACATATTTTTCTTGATTGCTTAAACTTTTGCACTTAAAAGTGTCTGAAAATAGTTTTTGTTTTGTAAAATGCATGTCCTGATGTGTGTTGTCTGTTATTAGGTGGGTCCCGGGGGCCATCCCCTTCTCTTACTCGTGTTTCCCCTACCATGGATCAGGGCATACAAGTAGGCCCAGGCCCGGCTCAACAGAAGCGTCTTGGTAATCATGCATCACAGTTGCACTGCTTCACACTAATATAACGCCAGATGATTGCTTTTTGTGAAAGTTGGGAGAATAGTTCATTAACATCGTACTAAACTTATTTATAAAACTTTCTATGTAGCTGATGAAAATACTCTGCTTTCTTAGTATATGCTGAATTTATATTCTTTTGTATTAATTTATACAGGTAGCATTAGTTGTAACTTCGATAAAACAATATTTTGCTTGCAATTTAAAATGCCAACAAAAATAATGTAAACAGTTTTTTTTGCAAAATTGAAATGTAGTTGAGTAGCAGAATATGTCAGGTTTTTTTTTACTACTATGGGATGTATCCATGCCTTTTCTGTGGGGAAAATTTGCACACTAAAAAGAATGTTTGGGGGATTATTTTATTTACAGGAATATTGACAATTATTGAACATAAACAACATTTTAAACCATGCTTCATTAACAATAATAAGAGAACAAACAAAAAATTGTTTAGGTACAGGAGCTAGAAATATGATTAATCTCATGTCAAAATTGGCTCAGCTGTATTGAAATGTTTTTGTAGTTAATCAAAATGAAATTTTCAGGCCACTTAGGACCATTGTTAATGCATCATTAAGTTTTGAAAATGTGATATAGTAATTATGTCCAACTTATTTGAAAGTGAACTGAATACATCATTCTAGAGGCATTAGTTACTGGAATGGTGATGGTTCTTTTCTGTCATCCTTTGCTTGAAATAAATGCACAGAGGCCTGTTGAACAATAAAGCTGATAAGTCATTAAAATCATTGACTTGAAGTGGCCTGTCTACAATAGACACATTTCCATTATAAACATTTTCAAATACTGATAAAAACCAATAAATAGTTATCATTTGGACTGTATTTAATATTAAATATTTCTTTTCCTTGGATAGAAAAAAAAAGTTTTAAGTGATTTTGTATGGACATTTAAATGATGAATAATTATAATTTGGCCTGGAATATTGTTAAAGATAATAGAGCATTCACTTCACACTTAACCAACAACATGTTTGATGTATAATATAACTTTTACACCTGAACAGTTTAACTTGATGTAAAGAAAGATCTGTGGATAAAAACTTCAAAAAGGAGCCTATTCCCAAAATGAAAATCTTTTCTTTTGTAAAAAAAGTATACAATTAGACTTTTCATGTTTAGTTGTTTCATTTTGTGGACTGTCATAAATTTCATCTATTTCTAGTTCAATATTGATATATTATATATGCTTAAATTCTGTTTGTTAATCGTGCCTGATAATGGTATTGTATAGTTTGTAGCATGTTTTATGACTGGCTATTTCATAATATATGTAGAAAGAATATTGAACAGGAAACAAAGTTCATTAGTCGGCAAGTGTTTTTCTAAGTCTGCTTGGTAATAGCCAATTGTATACTTGCATTTCTCTGTAAATGTACCGCTTAACCTTAGTTTTATATAGCTTAACTATTAAGAGTTCAAAGGCAGAGAGATTGTCATAGTAAGTTAGTAACTCTTGTTTGATCAAAGACTTTTAAAAGGTTTTGTAAGCAACTTTGTTCCTATTTCAGCACTGAAAGAATTGAATGCATGTTTACTGGGTCATAATTGTAGGTCTTAATCCAAGTTCTTTAACTCTAGCACTTTCACTGAATAAGAACCGTTTGAAAATTTCAGTAATTACTAGAACTTACAAGGTATTTCTTCACGTCCTTGGGATAATGGTAGTTAATAATTACCAAGAAAATAGAGGGAGCACACTGTTTTCCTAGTCTGATAAGACAACTTGAAGTACATTTGAAAATTAGCATAATTTTGTGACACTTGATTTGTACATGGCCCTTGGCCAATAGATGGACCTGTATTGATGTAAATTACAGAGGGTTAAAGGGCAAGCTCACCATGGCCAGGACCACAAAAGTTTTGTCTGAAGTAATTTGTCTTAAATTTATGAAACTATGTAGGAATATATCCCATTGCCAGTGGGGGGATTCATTATATTGATCTTAAAGTCATAAGTTCAATGTCACACATAAACTCTTTGCGTGATTTGTGAATCAAATGTTGGTGTAAATTGTAACTTGGGAAACTATAATTATAATAATATAATAACACTTGACTTTTTTAAATATGCATAAGGATGTCAATATGCCACTATAGCAACAAATGAAGTGGGAGATAAGTACACCACTACATGCTTATAATTTTCATCATGCACTTTTAATGGCAGAGTGTGATGTCTATTGACAGTAGTTGTTTTGTTTTTATGTTTTTAGATAAACTCTCAAATAGAAAGTCATAAAATTACATGCTGATGTCATTTAAACTTTATCGTTAACAAAAATTACTTCACTGCTTATTGCATGTTTGATTGATCACTTTCTACTTGGCTTCATTTGCAGCTTAACAATTAGTTGTAATGAATTTCCGGAAAAACCTACTATTCTGGTTAGATTTTGTGACTGTAGTTTTAACTTATACATGAAAACTCTGAATCCATTGCGATGTGATTCATTTCTAGTATTTCAAATTGTGATACTTTACTTAGATCTACAATACTTTTACTGTTACAAGCTTATGATTTCTTTAATTTAAACTTGGAATAACAATTTTGAAAAACATGGCATTTGTTTTGGTGTTAAAATGATTGATATGTGATTTAAATGATACTTAAAGAAAGAAATTGAAAAACAGTTTTACAAATTTTGAGAAAATAGCAATGATATGTTGTCTGTTTCCTGCATTGTTCATTACTTTCTAGTTTTCAGAGTAAGGATCATACAATGTTTATCATTTTTGTACCACTAGTTGCTTTAATTAAATTTATAAGTAGAAAAATAAATTTGGTATTTTACAAGTAAGATTCATGTAGAAATTATCTTGTTTTAGGTTCTCGAGGTTCAACACCACCTCCCAATAGAAAATCGCCTACGTCAGACCAAGGAACACAGGCTGAACCTCCCAGTGTACCTGATACCAGTAAACCTCCCCCAGGTCATCATCCGCCCGCACAACAACAACAACAATATCGGCAGCAAAATGATGATAGGAGACGTCCACCCCAGCAGCATAGAGACCGAGGATGGGAAAGAAAAGATATGCAGGAGAGAAGTTACGAAAGACGTGATCAGTATGACAGACGTGACCATCAAGATCACAGACCTGTATCTGCTAGCTATGCAAGGGGTAGAGGCAATAACAGAGGTAAGGAGTGCTCTTATCTTAAGTAAAAGTATTGGGTCACTTAGTTCACTCATAGGTGCTTCAAAAAGATTTTTACACTTTTGCCCTTACAACTTGAACCAGGAGATAAAACTGAATTTGACCTTGACTCATAAATTACCTTGACATTATTGTAATTTTAGGGTGGGTGGGTGGGCATGGTGAGTGATTCAAATATGACCTTGAAGTCAAATATTGAATTAAGGTTAGAGTGTCATTACTTTGTTACTTTTAACAGATTTGATTTATATTTGGACAAAAGAACCCCTTAGACAAAACCTGTATGTTAAGTTAATTGGTAATAACCATGACCTTTTTTGACTAATTTAAGTCATATTAAAATTTGCTTAAATTGTTTTAACTTTGTTATTTATTAACAGTTATGATATATAATTGAACTAAAGAACACAAGTTTAATTTTTCTAATATGGCATTGGCCTTATATTGACTGTCATGGTCAAGTTATTGAAACTTGCTTAAATAGCCATATCTTTATTTTATTTATCGATTGATATTCTTGGATAAATAAACACCTATGACAAAACTAACATGATGATTAATTCAAATTTGAGCTTGACCTTTGAATTACTTTGACAATCAGTGTGAAATTTGAATTATATTTGTGGGAGCATTCTTTACATTATTCTTACACTGTTAACATGTTTGACTTAAGAAATAATATCAGTTGAAAGAAAGTCAAGCATGGCCCCAGCTGTTTGTTACAGGGTCAGACTAAAGTAGATTTAAAAAAAAAAAACTTTAAATGATATACATTTAATTTCAGGAGGTTCAGGTTTTCGAGGAGGATCAGAAAGAGGTCGTGGAAGAGGTGCACCTAGAGGTCAGTCAGTTAGGGGTCGAGGCTCAGGGAGACCTCATGAACCAATCAAATTTGAAGGGGAGTTTGATTTTGAAAGCTCCAATGCTCAATTTGACAAAGAGGAAATTGAACGAGAGCTAAAGCAAAAATTAACGCTAGGTATTTATATTTTGTGTTAATTTGGTAACCTGAGTTACTTATTAGTCCCCTACCGGTTTTCCGGAGGGGACTTTAGGTTTACCCTCCGTCCGTCTGTCTGTCGGTCCGCACTCACAGGAGAGTAATTCTATTACGTCATACCAACTGTCCGTCTCAAATGAGATGTGCGCATACCGTGACCGAGAACATTCAGTACGCATTTTGATACCGTACCGAACGGACGTGGTTCGTTTATTAGACCGAGAGTTATAATCTCTATTCCTAGATTAACGCGGTTAATCTATTTTATTTCATATTTTCTGATAAATTAGATATTGTATTTTTACAGTATCAATTTAATTTCTTTTCTTGATATATATTTTGTTTATGCGAGGCATAAACTTCAGTTTTTTCTTTCGGCTTTGAGATTTTCATTCCATGTGCTTTTCAAGATGGCGGATGCCTCTACATCGGGAAGAAAAGTAATTAGTCAAGGAACATCTGGTTCGAACATGACTAAAGATGTCGATAAACAACCTGATAAATTGTTGTCGTCTAGTAAATCTGTTGCGTCCGAGGGTCGTAAAAATGAGTCTCGTGGTAAAGTGTCCACTCAGAAAAGTCAACCACCTGAGAAAATAAATGACGAAGTCATTAAAATTTTGCAAGAACTAAACACTAACGTAACAAAACAAGGTTCTAAACTTGAAAGTTTATCAAAAAGGGTAGACGATTTGTATGTTGAATATGATGAATATTGTTATCCTGACGACAGTTGTAATGATGGGTTTTCTGACGGTCATAGCGTCTTGTCCAATGTCAGCGAGTCTGGTGAAGATTCACAGCCACCACGCAAGAGGGTTTGTAATGAGAGTGACATATTTAGGAATTTGTGTGACAAATTTCAGAGTGCGGAAAAATGTGACACTGAAATAAATGACGATCTTGCTACTTTTGTAAACAATTCTTTCCGCAATGGTATTGCTGAGGATTCCTTGTCAAACATTGTTAAAGAAATTCACAGACCCGTTAATTGTGAGTCATTGGTGAAAACTAAGGTGAACGGTTGTATATGGCGTTTGTTGAAACCCCAATCACAGTCTGACGATGTGAAATTTCAAGCCATACAAAATGTTGTTGTGAAGGCTGCTATAAACATTTCCAAATTGTTGGATAAAGAAGGGGAAAAATTAGATACCCAGTCAATTGAATGGGGCACAAATGCCCTTGCTTTGTTGGGGCAGTCTAACAAACTCATTAACAACAAGAGGAAGGAATGTCATCGTTCGGATTTAGATCCACGATATTACCCTTTGACTTCTGCAAGCCTACCGTTTACAGAAAACCTGTATGGTGATGATATTAACAAAAGTGTGAAGGATATCCAGGACATAAGTAAAATTGGTAGAGATGTTGGAAGAAATCCTTCATTTAGGCCATTTGGTAGAAGACGTAGTGGTCGGCAGGCATGTTTTCTCGTGGTACTTGGCAGAGGTTATTTTAGGCCAGGTCATGGTTCTTCAGTCGTTCCACCACCAAAAAACTCCCGTGTGGGGTACAAGAACAAGTAAATCAGGTCAGTAATATTTTTCAGGCAGGTAGATTGAAATTATTTGAAGAAAATTGGAGAAAATTGACAAGTGATGAAAAATATATTAGACATAGTTAAGCATTGTCATATTGAATTTTTAGAAGGGCATGATCCTGTCAATTACGTATGTACAAGGAATAATTTCAGTGAAAATGAAAGTAAAATTATTGATCAAGAAATAAATAAAATGATTGATATGAAAGTTTTGATTGAAGTTAATCATCATGAAAATGAATTTATTTCTCCAATTTTCTTAGTCAAAAAGAAGAATGACGAGTTTAGAATGATATTAAATCTTAAATTATTAAATGAGAGTATTGTTTATCATCATTTTAAAATGGAGACATTTGAGTCTGCCCTTAAACTGGTAAAACCTAATTGTTTCTTTGCAAGTGTAGACTTAAGACATGCATATTATTCAGTTCCCATAGCTACGGAACAACAAGTTTAAGTTAAGATTTCAAAAAGATGGCAAAATTTTTCAATATGTATGCCTGCCTAATGGTATTTCTTGTGCCCCAAGAATTTTTACAAAGTTGATGAAGCCAGTTTATGCATCACTTCGCATGCTTGGACATGTTAATTCAGGGTTTATTGATGATTCTCTGCTTCTTGGAGATACATATGATGAATGTCATCTGAATATTACAGATACAGTTAATTTGATGGGGAAATTAGGGTTTATTGTTCACCCCCAGAAATCTATTCTTATCCCAACTAATAAAATTACATTTTTGGGAAATGATATTGATTCCATCAATATGATTGTTACTTTACCGTTAGATAAAGTTCAAAACAGTTGTCCAAGAATGCAAAGTGTTGTATAGACAGAAAAAGGAAAAAATTCAGCAAGTTGCGAGGGTTATAGGCCTTATGATTTCTACCTTTTCAGCTGTAGAAAATGGTCCTTTGTTTTATAGACAAATTGAGAATGAAAAAATTTTGGCATTAAAGCAAAATAAAGGGAATTACAATGCATATATGATTATATCAGATGAAATGAAGGGAGAACTTAAGTGGTGGATTGACAATCTAGCCACGGAAAAAAGACATATTAGTCATGGCAATCCAGATTTGACTATTACAACGGATGCAAGTTTAGTTGGCTGGGCAGGTATTTGTAATGGAACAAAAATAGGTGGTAGATGGACCTGTCTAGAATCTGTTTTTCATATTAATGTTCTTGAATTGTTAGCAGTTTGCCATGCTGTCAAATCTTTTTGGTTTGCACAAAAAAGACATTCATGTAAAAAATTTATACAGATAAATACTTGTGTTGTTTCTTATATCACGAATAAAGGTGGTAATAAAATCTGAACTTTGTAATAAATATGCCAAAGAAATATGGCTTTGGTGTTTAAAGAAAAATATATGGCTTTCTGCTACACACATTCCTGGTATTAGCAATGAGGCAGATTTTCAAAGTAGAAATTTCAATGAAAATGTTGAATGGCAACTTAACAGAATATATTTTTAAACAAATTGTGAAATTATTTGAAGTGCCAATAATTGACATGTTTGCCTCTAGATTGAATAAACAAGTCGATCGGTTTGTTTCCTGGAAACCTGATCCAGAAGCGGAGGCAATTAATGCTTTTTCTTTGTGTTGGTCAGATGTATTAATTTATGCATTTCCTCCTTTTCAGTTTAGGTTGGTCGAAACAGTACAGAAACTGAGAGAAGACAAAGGGGAAATGATACTGGTGGCACCTCTTTGGATAACACAGTATTGGTATCCAGCAGTAATGCAGTTGTTAATAGAAGTGCCTTATGTTTTGAAAGTGACTACAGACACACTTATTCTGCCAAATACAAAGAAAGTTCATCCACTAGTAGGTCATCTACACTTAATGGTATGTCGTTTGTCAGGGAATTGTTCCAAAGTAGACAGATTTCATCAGAGTCTACCGACATCATCATGGCATCGTGGAGACATTCCACCAAAAAAACAATATTCATCGTATATCCACAAATGGGTGGAATTCTGTAGTAAAAGGAAAATTGATAAATTTCAAGTTACTGTAGACAATATTATAAGTTTTTTGACAGATTTATTCCATTCGGGTTACAAGTATGATAGCCTAAATACAGCTAGAAGTGCGTTATCTTCATTATGTATTACTGAAGATGGTTTTACAGCAGGTGCTCATCCTTTAGTGGTTAAATTTATGACAGGTGTGTTTAATTTATGTCCACCAAAAAGTAAATATAATGAAACTTGGGATGTTTTCAAAGGTACTGTGTTATTTAAAGACATTGTCACCAGTAGATAGGTTGTCTTTGAAACAGCTAACTTGGAAGTTAGCTATGTTAATAGCTCTGACTCAAGCAAGTCGGTCTCATTCATTAAGTTTAATAACTATTGATGGTCTAAGGCAAGATCAGGATTCAATTACTGTACAATATTGCGGGTTATTAAAAACAGTCTAAGAAAGGCAGAGATAATCCAGTTCTTCAATTGAAAAAAATATACTCCAGATAGGAGGTTATGTGTGTATAGTGTTTTTCTTGAATACATAAACAGGACTAAACATATTCGAGGAAGTGAGTCAAGACTTTTTGTCAGTTATATGAAACCACATAAAGCTGTTACTTCTACAACTATAAGTAGATGGCTAAAATCAGTTATGTTTTTATCAGGCATTGACATTAAAAGATTTCAATCTCATAGTATAAGAGGAGCATCTGTATCAAGAGCTAAATGTTTTGGAATTCCAATTAAAGAAATCATGAAAAGTAGCAGGTTGGTCAAATGAAGCAACTTTTGCAAAATACTACGATAACCTATTAAAGATAGTCTTTACGAAACTGCAGTGTTCACAGGATTGACGGAATGAATCGTGTTGGTATGTGAATGTTTATTTTTTCCGTTCATTGTGTTTACATGCAAAAAATTTTTGCTATTTGCTTTAAAGTCTCATTTGAGACGGACAGTTGGTATGACGTAATAGAATCCCCCAAATAAACTAGACTTACCTTGAGTCGACGTTTGGTTGGGATTCTATGTAGTCATACAGCAACTGGAGGGATCAAATGCCCGCCCATCCCTCCCTGAATGTGTGTGACACATTCTTTAATGCATTTTGCATTTAGTTTTTTATTTTATTGAAGCAAAAATTATTTTGCTTAATGCTTTAAATACTGAATGTTCTCGGTCACGGTATGCGCACATCTCATTTGATCCCTCCAGTTGCTGTATGACTACATAGAATCCCAACCAAACGTCGACTCAAGGTAAGTCTAGTTTATTTGGGGGATTATGTGGCTAGACGGACAATAGGTAACTGTTCTTTCTCTTTGATGTCATTCATTCCGTAATGCTTTTATGTGGCTATTTCTTTTGTGTGGCTAAAAAGAACAATAGAGTAGCCACATAATTACTCTCCTGTTAGAAGGTCAGTCTGTCCATCTGTCTGTCAGTCCGTCCGTCCACAAAACTGGATCCCGCGATAACTTGAAAAGTACTGAAAATATTTTTATGAAACTTAATATATGGATAGATGGCAGTATGGAGATTATGCACGTCTTTTTCTTTTCTTCCTATGTTGAAAATTCTGCAAATTTTACACATAAACTGGATCCAGTGATAACGCAAAAAGTACTGGAAATATTTTTATGAAACTTCAAATATGGGTAGATGGCAGTCTGGAGATTATGCACGTCTTTTTCATTTCTTCCTATGTTGAAAATTCTGGTTGCTATGGCAACAAATAGGCTGAAAATATGGCAAATTTTACACATAAACTGGATCCAGTGATAACGCAAAAAGTAATATAAAAATAAGTAATAGAAATATTTTTATGAAGCTTGACATATGGGTAGATGGCAGTCTGGAGTTATGCATGTTTTATCTTTTCTTCCTATTTTGAAAAAATATTGGTTTCCTTGGCAACAAATAGGCTTAAAACATGGCAAATATAACAATATTTGTGATTAGTCAAAAAGAGCTGAAAATTTTTATGAAATTTTGCTTTTAAAAATGTTATATTTTGGTAACAGGGATGTTTCAAATATTAACTTTAGAGTGTCATTCAGTCCGTCTGTCTGTCTGTTTATAAAAACTGTTTCCTGTGATCACTTTTAAAGAACTTTTCCAACAAATTTACTTAAAATATAGAAAAATTGAAACATTAGTGAATGGCCAATGGCCCTTCAGAATGTTGATGGGGTTCTAACTGGTAGGGGACTTATGGATTGCTTGCAATACTATGATAATTGCTTGTTCATGTTGCATTCAAGTAGATTGATTTAAGGAAACTGTTTTGAAAATACAAATTATGAAGGTCAGTCTTGTGGATAGATTTTGTTTTACACTGTTGGTTATATTTTTTATATGTAAGCACACATTAACGGGGCTCGCTCTCCGGTTTTGGAACATTTTTTTTCTCTTTTAATGAGGAATTTATGGCAATTTCTTCTGCAAAAAGGTACAATAGTGACTACTGCAATGCTAAATGTTTTAAAAACAAACATGCAACAGCTTCATATTTACTCAAAATTTTGTAAAACATGTATGTAAATTGAAGGTGAAGATACCAGTAAAGTAAATGGTGAAAAAGCTGTTGAAAATGGAGAGGGAGGAGGAGGTGGTGGTGGTGAAGAAGATGATGAGTGCTTCTATGACAAATCCAAATCTTTCTTTGACAATATTAGCTGTGAGGCAACAGACAGAGCCAAAGGGTAACTATTATTTAGCTTGTCCTAAAATCTCTAATTGAGCTCATCATTTACAATGTATAGTGTATTGTCAACATTTTGACTGTTTATACTTTGTGGTCGCACATATTACTCAATCTGAAATATACTACAAATTTGGCACAGTTTTAATGTAGTGACCATAACTACATAAGCAGACCATTTTAAACATGTTTTAAGGGTTCTAAGACATTCATCTAAGAATTTTGTAATAATTTGCTAAAGGGTTAGTAAATTAGGTTGGCCGCAAAAGATAAAAGAAAATAGTGCTTTGAAATAATTCCGTTAGAACCACCATACTTAATCTTGTTAGCAAAAATTACCAACCAATCCAAAAAATTAAACAAATCATTGATTGGTATGAGAAGTCATGCAGTTATGCATTTGTCTTTGAAATCAAGACAGGGATTTAGAATTCTTCATGTGAGGAAACTCGAGGTTGATGATTTAACATGTATCTATACCTGTTTGCCTTTGAAATAATGTATTGAGGGACACTAGTGTGTTCGCTGGTCTTAACCCTCTCCTGTCTCCAGTATTTTAGTGTGTTTGTGTTAAAAATAAAAGATAACAAGATATGATGATATTAACAAGTTAAATTTGAATGATATTTGGATTGATCATGAAATGTAACATTATTTGCCAAGATAGATATAATAGTCAGATAAGATTTAGAGTTCCAATTCATCAATATCTTCTTCAGAAAACAGTCTCGGCCAAGCTGGAAAGAAGAAAGAAAATTAAATGTAGAAACATTTGGTACAAGTGACCCGCGACGGGGCTTTCGTGGACGAGGTGGTTTCCGTGGCAATAGAGGTTATAATAATTACAATGGTTATAGAGGTCGTGGACGGGGAGGCGGTGGTGGATATAGAGGTAAAACTACAGAACAAAGTTAACAAGTGTTAATGTTTTAGTTATATGGTCAGAAATTTCTTGTTTTCTGTCTCAAAATTGGCAAATGTTTTTGAGTTTATTAATCTGTCAAATGTTTTACCAGGCTTTACTATATAATATTGTGATTAAAACAAATCTTCAGTATTCAGATAGGAAACAGACAGAAGAAAGTAAATAGTATTTACTTGATCATTACAAGCCAGTTTGGGGGGGGGGGGGTCCTAGTCTTTTGTAAATGGGTCCTGGGCTATTTGAATTGTGAAGATTAGTGCCGTAATGTTATTACTTGTTACTGTAGTCCTTTTTCATACTGTTATATTTAAGCTTCTAAACATGGAAAAAATGTAAAATATGTGTTGACCTTGATAGATAAATAACACCTTATACTATAGTTTAATGTCCGTTTCTAATATTTTTTTAAGTCATCAACAACTTTTCAATAAATACAATTTGACAGTTGTGAATTTGCATTCAACAATTGTAAAAAAAAAAGAAGATACTGTCGGCGCTGTGAATAGAGCCCTTATTCAGCCCCAAAACCGCTGGGAGGAACACTGTGCCAGTGTTGCTACCAAAGGTTCATTTTCAGCATGTTTTACTTTATAATTGTACGTTCATAATCGTAGATGGCTATTGGAATTTAATGTTCAAAACTAGGGCGATGAAATAAGAATATTTGCCATAACAGAGGGAAACCAATGAGAGAATTAGTATTATTTCTAAGAGAATATAATTCTGTTTATATAACTGATTACAGGTCGTGGAGGATATAATGGGGGTCGAGGTGGAAACAGCGGAGCTAGAAGAAGTCAAGCCTGGGTAGACTATGAGTATCATTATGATGATAGTAGAAGACCTCAAAGTGGGGAAAAGTCAATGAACAAAGTAAGTAGTACTATGTAGATATATACCTATGTAATTATTCATATGATTTAGATTCTGGGCATGGTTTGTTTGTAGCTTATTTCTTCAAGTAAAAGGATTGGTATTATATCTGTAATTAACAACTAGGTCGTGGAAGGATAGTGGCTCTACTCAGGCTGCCTGCTTTTGTCTATCACTCTGGTGAAGCATGTATATTTCCAGAATAAAAATTAATCTATAGCACATCTGGTGCCAAACACATATAAGGTCACCTGGTCAAAACAAAACTATTACCCAAAAGACTACACTTCTGCATTTACCCTGTTGTGGGTTTAAATCTTGTCAAGGATTTTGAGAAAGCTATCTAGCTAGCTTTCAGATCATCGGTGGTTCTACTCGGGTTGATATTGTTTCATGCCTGAAAAAAAAAGCTTGGAGAGGAGCACCTGAGGTATTCCTCCACCAGTTACCCAACCTCAAAAAAACACCTACACACACTCCTGAAAATTAAATGAAACATGCTGAGAGCCTTTCCCATGATGATTTCTCAGTCATGGTTAATTTGGTTCATCTCTAGTTGAAAATGTTTTAAAGATGACTGACAACTAGGCAATGGGTAATCATAATTATATATTGTTAGGGGACAGTTGCTTTCAGTACTGGTGTAATTTTAGTATCATAAGTGAGTCTGTTGTGCCTAAATGCTAGCATTTTGCTTGTATACTCATTAGCATTGTTTCTGTTTCCAGCAACAGCAGCCAAACAGACCGACAGGAAAGGCAGAATCATAGTCACTGGAATACACAGCTACACTATTGTGCTGAAAACAAAATTTGGTCGACATAGAATATTAACGCTGATCTCTTTCTAAACATGTTCTATGATCACCACTCAACATTTGTCCAAATTTAGAAAACTCCAATGATGTCAATGTAAAACATAATTATAGATAAAACTGTATTTGTTGGAAACAAGGACAAAGTGAAGCAATTGGGACTTTAAAATCTTGTATTTTTCGACAACAAACATGAGAAAAATGTTGTTTGAAAAACATTAAATAAGACAATTTGTACGAGTTAATTGTGTTGTTGTGTCACCTGAATCAGTATTTTAGTAAGTGTGACACAACAAACGTGTTTATTTATTTTTTTTATGTTATGTGAATTATATGATGTGTATGACACATGTGTTCAAGCTCAGATTCAGCGGCTCAGTGTAAATATATTTCACCGGACCTTACAGCAATGTCTAGGGGATGGATAAGTGCTACTTAATTTATACAAAAGAATTCAAAACTTTAGCAACTATGGGATAGTATAAACTAATTTTTATTTTTGTTCCATTTTCATTATTTACACAATCTTTCTACATGGTTTTGTAATGAAACTGGTGCTCCTGATCAAAGAAATTGATTAGGTTTTTCTTTCTGATAAAAGTGTAACATATCAAGTCTGTTCATGAAATATTATTTTGACAGAATCGTATTATGATTGTTAAATTGTTAAAAAAAAACTCAACATATTGAGACTTGAGTATGAACAAGGTATTTCCTAAAAATCAAAATGGTAAGGTCAGATACTCAGTAAAAATCAAAATTTTAATTTCCTTTATACTTAATTATAGTGACCTGATTTGTCTGTAGGTATGAACTGGATTAAACACACTGTTGTTAAAGTAGGCATCATTAGTCCAAAATGTTAAAGTTAATATGTTGGGCAAGCCTATTGCAGCTTACAATGTCAAAAGAATGACTTTTAGCAAAAAGCAAATTACAAAAAAATGTCTCACTATCTTGCCTTTTAAGCTTAAATAGTTGATCATAATACAAGTGTAATTGCATGCCCAATCATTTGTAAACAATATTAACAGTTTATTAGATGAATTTGAATAAAGTTAAACAACAGCCACCAATGCTTATTCACCATATCTGTGACATAAGTGGTTTACAGATTGGTTCTGGATTTTTCTAACAGGGTGTTCACTAGCCATGAAATCCTGAGGGTCATTTTGACTACGTTTTACCGACTACAAGGTCAAATTGCCATGATTTTAACAAAATTTGACCCTCCAGTTAAAATCCTGAGGGTCAAATAAGGCCTTTTGGAAATTTGATTGGTCAAAGAGTCATTTCAAGGGTCAAACGGACACCCTGTTCTAAGGAAGCATATAAATCATAAAAATGTTTGTGTTTTTGTTAAAAAATTATTTTTGGCATAACAGTGAGTTTTTGTGTTTAACATTATCAATAGACATATCGGGAGTAGAAATATCAGGAGCACCAGTTTGAAATGGGGGAATATATGACTTTGTGTTTAATTTTACTGTTTATCCATGCTACACCTGTAATACTTAGATTGTTTTCCTGATAATTATTGTTGAACAGGGTTATTTTCTCAGCAAAAAAAAAAAATGAGACCGCTTTATTGTTTGTCAAATGAGGGTCTATTTGAAAAGTATCTCAAGGCAGTTTTGTGAATGTGTTGACTAAAGAAGTTTTATAGAATGAAGAATGAGGTTGCCAGTGCTGAGATACTTCTCTTTACTGCTGTTACATATATAGATGCAAAGGGAAAGTACTCTTTGGTATAGTAATAGAAATGTTATATTGCTTCTCTCCCCTGTGTTATTATCCTAAATTCGAATTTTCCATATCTGAGAAGAGAGCTGAGCTTAATCTGAGTGAAGAAGTTGAAAGATAAACAAAAGTATTATTTCTGCAGATCTGGTGAGGAGATAAAAAATTACCACAGTAAATATATTTTGTAAAGGTTAAAGGTAAAATGAAATAGTGACATAAAAATACTTCCATGTGGTATACAAATTAAATTATAATGTAAAATGAGAATTACTGTCACAAGTTCTTGTTTGAGTGTATGCATCAAAAAAGAAGGAATGCAGAAGTTCCCACAGTGAATGTTTTTGTAAGATGCACATAGTTCACAATAACATGGTTCCAGCATTTATGTTGTTAGGAAACACCTTGTATTGGAACATGAAGTCCAAAATATAAAGAATAAGCAACTTTCTTGTGTTGTATTTTATCAATTCTGATGTTAATGAGATGGTGGTACTAAGAGATTGTTTAAAATTGAGTGTTCAAGAAGATCAGGGTATCCAAGTAAATCTGAAAAGAGCATAGCCTGTGATCCTAAAGAAGTAAACTTTTAAGTCACACCCAGGGGTTATTTCAAAAAGTTCTTTAAAACCATCTCGATACAAATCTGTGCATGTACTGGAGCCAGGTAGCTTCAAAAAGAAAACTGCAGGGCAATTTCACTCACCTCTTCCATTTAACCAACCATAACATCCCCTAACCACCTTCAACGTGATTTTCAGGAAAAATGGTCTTGCTTTACCCAAAAAGTTGTTTGTAAAACCATGGTCTATGAAAAAAACACCACTGATTTCAGATTGGCTTTCGTTAAGATTAGCAATGAGAAAAATCTGTGGAATCGAGGTCAAAACGTTTCTAGAACACCACATTTGATAAGAAAATATTGTCTTAATGTGTAAAACTACAAATCTGCTTATGCCCTTGGGACCTGAAAGTGATATTAATCATACCCCTTGTGTCAATTTTGCCCACTCCAAGGGTCACTTATATAGAAAAAAAAACTCGGATAAGTCTTATGTAAAACCGTATGCTTAGATGTTTGGCATGAAGAATCTATGTGACGCAAGTCGTGCCTCTGAGGACAAAAATGGCAACGTTGGGGTCACTTAGTTTTCATAGTTGTTATGTCTTAAAACTTCTATCTGAAACGACGATGCACTGCGTTTAGATATTTTGCATGTTGATCGCCTTGTGGTCCTCTACAAGTTATATTAATCATGCCCCTGGAACCAAAGTCGGTTTTTCACCCCGAAGGGCACTTACTTTGTATTGACTTTTATTGTAAACCTATTTAATCAGGGTTTTTTTTAAGTAAAATTAAAATGCCAAGAGCTTAAATATTTGCCAAAAAGAATTTAACTTGTGTACAATTATTTTTAAAATTATGAAGCTTTGACAAACCTAATGTAACCTTATTGAAATTGTGACTTTTGAGAGCAACGTATCTGAAGTCATGATGGCCCTCTTGTTCAAAGTTCTGTCCCTTAAACCAGGTTAACCGTTTTGTTGAGGCAAATATCAAAACCAGACCTTTTTAAATGGACATGTTATTTTTAGCTCGACTATTCGCGAAATAACCGAGCTAATGCAGGCGTCCCTGTGATTAAGTTTTTGCGTGTAAATAACTACTGAAGGGAATAGATTGAAACGTCACACACTTATTCTCTGTGGTTATCTAACATGATTGGCACAAGTCCCATAACTCTGATTTGATTTTTTGCATATTTTTTGTGACATTTTTTTTCATTCATAATAATCAAGCAGTGATTTACTCGATGAAACATCTTAGTAACAAGCCTTTGTACCTTTTCGGACAATTTTATGTATTCATATAGGTAAGCATTATTTCACTCAATGAAACTCCCTTGTGACTTTTAAAGTCGAGCGTCGCTGTCCTCCGACAGCTCTTTTTTTTTTAATTAAAACGCGTTTCTATAGAGCATTTAACTTTAAAATTTAATTTAACTTGATAATGGCCCTTTTTCGACTCCTTTTTCTTGGTTTACCAAATAATTATGGTACATTTTCTTAAAAGCTACCAAAGAAATTCACAAAACATGGAATATTTGTAAGTATGCCAAGCATTTTTGCAAAGTCATGCTCTTTTTTTATGTTGCCTTAATTATTCAATCCAAAACATTTACTCCAGTTGTAAGCTGTAATAAAATAATAAAGCTGTCAACAATAATGTATTGTCACAAACGAAGTAATATGTAAGCGGCTTCAAGGGTACCCGTACTGCATAATGGTATAATATTTGGAATTCCGGTAGTCAAATATGTTAAGATAGCCAGGTTTTCAGTTTCAAAATAGAGGGCTGAATTTCAACTAATTCAAAATGTTACCATCCTTTATATTCTCAGTACTGTTCGCGCTTACGAGCATTATTTTCTGAGAATTTTTTATTGCTTTGGGACGTGAAACAATCGGGGATGGTGAGGAAAAGGTTTTATTACAGCCTCAAACATCAAACAATCTCAAGTTATTGTTTGAGACTTGCATATGAGCCGCGCTATGACAAAACCAACGTAATGCGTTTGCGACCAGCATGGATCCAGACCAGCCTGCGCATCCGCGCAGTCTGATCAGGATCCATGCTGTTCGCTTACAAACCCTATTACAAGTAGAGAAACTGATAGCGAACAGCATTGATCCTTATCAGACTGCGCGGTTGCGCAGGCTGGTCTGGATCCATGCTGGTCGCAAACGCACTATGTTGGTTTTGTCATGGCGCGGCTCATATAAACCCACTTCGCATGAAGAGAAGCTGGGTAGTAGTCAATATGAAGAGTTATGCGCTGTATATGGAATGGACAAGCGATTAATTTCTACTCAAATTAGTACTAAATAGGCATTTGGAATATGCTTCAAAGTTGACAGGAGGAGTACCTATGATTTGTAGAAAATTGTACCTTGATTCGTACGCTCGCGATCACGAACTCCAGCAAGGTAAAGCAGTTGTTTTACCAAAAATATTGCCAGGTAACTTAGTTGTTTACACAAACGCCGGAAATTTTGAGGCTTTGTAATCTTCTGGCAAAATCTGAGTTTCAAACATGTGTTGTTTTTTCTAAAGATTTATTAGATCGGGCCATCACCGTGTACTGTGTGAGCTTGACTGTATTCCCGAAGCTATGACCGTGATTAATTTGAGCAAAAAATTTTAGATAGGGTTATCACCGTGGACTGTGTGAGCTTTGCTGTATTCCCTGAGGATATCATGAGACAAGAAACCATTAGATAGGGCTATCACCATGGGTTGTGTGAGGCCACAGATATATAAATATTTAGCTCCATGATGAGGCTATCACCGTGGAATAGAAAACGAATTAAAGTCGCCCTGGATAACTGCTTACAGAAATCGCACCAGTGTGTGTATGAAAGGAATCGTAAAAGAATCCCACCCCCGGTAGAAATAGAAGAGATGTAGAAGAGTGAAGATAAGCGGGGAAAATCACGCACTCAACAAAACATGTGGTATGTGCATATTGCAACTGCTCTCTGCTTTAAAGGGAAAAGGTGTTGTAAATAAAAGAAAATGTGAGGATAAGACCTTGACATTGAGGAAATTTAAAAAAAAGATAATATACCAGTATATTTCAATAATAATATGCAAACTTGAAAGTTTCGTTCTTTTGAATCGCTTTACACCAAAAGTTAATATTTCAATCCTATATTTCGTTATTTGCCTCGGGGACTTTTTACATGTATTTTCACAATACACCCAAATTAAACCAAAAATCATCAGTTCGTACGAATTCAATACATTTTGCCTGAAGCTATCATAAAATATTGAAGCGTTTTAAATATCAGTCTTGTCGGATTATAATGTTATAACACGAAAAACGACGGGCAAGTTCTCGTCTTACAAACAAATTACAAGTGCAATTGTATGATTTTCAAATCTTAAACCAGGGGGTGATATTCAGTGAAAAACGAATGACCAAAATTTAGCCGAAGGCATCCAAATGACATTCACAGACTTGTGATGCGCACGCAAATTGAATGCTGATCGTTCTACTTTTTCAAGAAAACGTACTTTTTCCGTCATGTATGAAATTAAATGACATTGAATGAACTTTAAAGAAAGTCTTGTTTGTGCATTTTAAAACTTCAAACTGTTCACACAATTGACTTTATTATTTATAGACTGTATATTGTATTATATTTCTGTACGTAAGTCTACCCATTTTTTAGATTTTGAAAAACGTCGCTTATGTCGTCTGCCGTAAGCGGTTTACGACAATCAAGTGTACATGAACTTAAACGGGTGCGTGGAATCGATGGAACCTAGTTAAATGAGACAATGAGATTTAAGGTTGCGTGTTCGAGTACCGTTTTAGCCATTCTGTACAATTTCACCATACAAGGTCTGCAAAAAAAAAACAACAAAAAAACAACAACTTTTTATTTTTTAAGGTTGTGATCTATACATATTGTGAATCCCCAATTAGATAACCAATGACACAAATAAACAAGTTTTTTCGTGAATAGATATTGCTTTTAATCAATCGTCTGATCTTTCAACACTTAACAAAATGCACCTAGTCCAACGTTTGTTTATAGCCTTCAGTCAGACCGCTAATATTGAAACTCAATAATATACTTTATTTTCTCTTCAACACCAGCAGTATTTAATTCGTTGTCATAGCAGCGGTTGCCCGCGGCCGTGTGTGTTCATTAAGCCTTCTGTTCGCCACTAAACCTCTCCGAGAATGCGCGGAAAAAGCCGAGCGTTGCCCTGAGGCATTCTACCCGGGAGAATGTATTGAGCGACGAAGGATAAAAGATTCATTTAAGCCTGAACTTCTCGCTAGTTAACGTATGTGAAAAATATAGGAGATATAAAACAACTTTTAAAGGTAAGATATTTGTTACATGATATTAAATGACTTTTTATTTAGTTTATATAAGTTTTACTGTCGTAATTTACCCTTTGACCATTACTTTATTCCGACGTGAATTCAATACTATAATACATGTTTTGAACAAATTTAATACTCATTAGAAAAAGAAAATGTTAAAACCGACACAAATAATTTATGGCAAGTTTATATAAACGGGTAGATAATTATTGCATAAATAAGACGTTGAATTTATCAGTGAAATCAGTTCAAGTCCGTGGTAAAATGCTCTTGTCTTTCAAAAGAAAAAGTACGAAATCATGCCGCCGCACAGTTCAGGAAATATTCGGTGCAACTTTCCATACCCTTAATATGTCTTGTCAAATGTATAGGTGTCTCTAATCATTTGTACTTTGTACTTCTCTAAGGGATCTGTACAGTATACATCTCTACTTTTAAAATCTCTACTCCTCTACTCATAATAGATTAAAGAACATAGCGGGTCCTTTTTTTTTGGGGGGGGGGGGGGGCAGGGGCAGGGAAGGGGACGTTAAGGGGGTAAATACATCGTTTTCATCATCTCATCTGAATCAAGTAAGGATATTTTATATATGTCATAAACTAACATAATACTTGGATGTTATATTTCGTTCTTTTTTTTAATAAATATTAAAGTAGAGTATATTGAGAGCTTATATAAATGCCCTAGGGGGTAAATATACTTACTGTATATGCGTCTTAATGTAAAGTCAACACTTTTTGAAAATTGCTAAAATGAAAATCGAAAATAAAAGAAAGCATTATCTAAGCTATAGAAAGGCTTATTCACATAAATTTGTTTTTGCCACTGGGCAAATAAGAGCGGACAGGATGTATCCATTCTGTCTTTCTATGCCCCGGATAAATATTTCATCTGAATCGCCTTGGGGTGGGTGGGGTCATCCGGTGAAATAAATCTATGCATTTGTGATATTTAGTATTTAGACTGAACGGAAAAGCTAAAACACCCCGAGGGACGGATAGGAGAATGTATAACGCAGTACCTCGGGGAATTATTTCATTTTCCCTCGCTTTTAGTTTGAAGTGATCACCTGGCTAATGAAATTGTGTTTCAACATTTCATAGTTTCCTAAGGGAATCTTTCACATTTAATTGGTTGTAATTCGTATGGATTTGATAAATGATATTATACATATAAACGTAAGTACGGAATTTCTTGATTTTTTTTTATTTTATAATTCATTCAAACGTTTACTTTATTACGAAAAAGTTCACAATACATTAAAATATACTTTACATTCAGGTTATGCAAATGTGTTAATAATACGCATATAAAGCATCTTCTCTTTTTCAGAATCAAGACATTCTATAGAAACTCGTCTTAACGGAGCTAATTTGTTTAACTACGTAGAAAACCCAACTTCATACTGGAGCTGAAACTTTCCATGCCGGAGACAGGGCGCAGGCTGTCCCCGAGTACCAATTCCTCGCCGTCACCCGTGCAGACGCAAAATGGCGGGTACACGAGTAAAATATCGGGCGTCCCGTGTCCAGCAACGCCTACTCGTTATACAGCACCTGTTCACATTGACGTTGGCGGAGTAATCTACACGTCTTCATTAGAAACGCTTACACGGTATGACATGTTTCAAGATACAAGGCTTTTATTATTATTATTATTATTATTATTATTATTATTTACTAAACATGGGTGAAGCACAGCCCTGTAAATATTGTTTGTCGGACTTGCGTTTGATAGTGAGATTAGTTGAAAATTCTATGGCTTGCTGAACGAACTTGTCTTAGACATACGTATATTGTCATTTGTCAAGATTTCGCTGAACATGTCGGTGAACGCTTCTTAACAGATGCTAATGACGTTTTTTTTCTTCATTGCTGAAGAGAATGCGACATTCTAAACGTCTGAAGTTTTATTGCAGTTAAATATTATAAAATGATTTAAGTACTCACTCGCTAGAAGTTTACTGATCAAACCAACGTGTGTTTGTTTTGTAGCTATAAGCTCCAGGCACATAATGTGAATTTTGAATTATTGCCGCTGGCTTGAGTCTAGATTAACGATTTTTCCCTTGATTACTTAGTTTCCATGGTAGCAATGTGTCGCCGGCGGGCAGGCTTTTGATGCAGAGGCTTGGAAAAAAAACGTACTAGAAAACATTGCCTGTCTCTCAGTATTATATCTCTTGTTAGAGACAACTGAAAACACTTTGAGCTCACTGCCCGCAGCAAATCTGACTTCTAAATCAATTAACTGCTAATGCAGCGTTCCATCTCAGTTTCGTATACATTGTATATATAAACGAGAAGATATTTAAGGCTAAATGCTTTCGGCGCATGGTCAAAGTAACAATTTAGCAAATGAAAACCAATGTAGATGTAACAATAAACATATTAACATAAATTTATCAAAATTATGTTGAATCTACTTGAATGCAATAACGAGTTGTGTTTTTTTTTCAAAACCAGTCATTATCTATCAGTAGCCATAGGCAAATAAATCGACTGGTGTAGAGAATCTTAGATTTCAATTAGATATAACAATAAAAGGATTGTAAACGGATACATTCGGGCAAAAAATACAACATGCTTTGAGTGACATGTTTACCCGCAGAGAAAATAAGTGACGGCAGTGTTTCTGAAAAGGAATATCGATTCAAAGTTTACCTTTCTGTTTCTATAGACAAGTTTATGAATGTATAACATAGAAAAGCTTTCAAGCACCAACATGCAGTAACAATTAATATGTTCACGAATTCTTTTAAAATTAGTTTTAACGCATTTTATTTTGGATTCGTGTCGAAAGATTAGAGCTGAAAAGGACGATTCCTAAAAAAGAAGTCATAAAAATTAATAACAATGTACCTATTATAAGTTGTCACATTATGTACTCTGACCGATAAAGAATTAAACTATTGCTTTGTATTTCAGATTTCCAGAGTCCCGTCTTGCAAAGATGTTTAACGGTAGCATACCGATAGTTTTGGATACCCTAAAACAGCACTACTTTATAGACAGAGATGGGAAAATGTTCCGCTACATCCTAAATTACATGCGCACTGCCAAACTCTTACTTCCGGAAAATTTCAGTGAAATGAACCAGCTTTACGAGGAAGCCAAATATTTTGATATTCCAGGGATGGTTAGAGAAATAGAAATCATGCGAAGGGGAAAGAATGTAAAGAAAGAAAAAATGGACACTTCTTTTGACAATGGTAAAACTTCTGAAAGAGACTCTTTCTGCGACTGTATTGCAGTGAGCATTAGTCCAGATCTCGGAGAACGGATATCATTAAGTGCTGAGCGTTATTTGATTGAAGAAGTGTTTCCCGAACTAAATACCGCGTTACTGGATTCCAGGAATTCCGGCTTCAACATGGACAATCGTTACGTCATTCGTTTCCCGCTGAACGGTTTCTGTAAATTAAATTCAGTACAAGTGTTTCAAAGACTGTTGAATCATTCTTTCAAAATCGAAGCAGCAACTGGAGGAGGTGTCGAGGGCCAACAGTTTTGTGAATATTTGCTCGTAAGACGGAACTGTAAAGCTATTTAGGCAGGCGTTGTTGCCTTCACATTTTGAAAAAAAAAAGAACAATTTTTGAAATCCATTTACTTACTATATGTATACGCCTGTGAATTGTATTGTTTCCACTTTCAGGGAACCATTTGCGCCATTTTTTTCCTTTCTCATACTGTTGTACAATTATGTTTCTCCTTATTTCTTCCCAAGTTATTCGGACCAAATTAATCAAAGAAAAAATGGTCATATTAATAATTACTTAACTAAGAACAGACCATTTATATTTTCATTTTTCTTTGAAAGGAATTCGTACCAAGATATTTCAGGATTTTTTGTGTATAGAATCTTCTATGTGATGTGATATTTTTTTCAACATGCCAGTAACAATGTTAACATAGACGTTTTGTTGTTCATTCTTCAGTTGTATTAGCATTAATTAGTACTTCTAAATTGGATTATAATACTATCTTTGGCATAATATACGCCTACATGTTCTCTGTCAAAATACGCTCTTCAATTGTACATTATGTACCTATCTCATGTAAATTGTTACTTAACACAATTTGTTAAACGTATGTGTTTTTACCTTAATAAATTGTCTCCCTTGAGAAGAAAATCCTTTTTCAAAATCAGCAAAATGTCAATAAAATAGTATTTTGATTTCCATATTAAGATCATCTAATTCTAAATCACTATTACTGTACTACTTGTTAAAAAGCAACAGAAGCAAAAGATCGTTCAGGAAATTGGCCAGTGAGTAACCTTATGGAAACTTTAACAGGAAATCAAAATGTTTAGCTTTTGAGAAATAAAAAAAAGAAAAGAAAAACATTTAAAGGGCATTATAGACAATCTATGAGAACATATTTATCATGTCATTATATTGCATCGGGGTCCTTCAAATAGAAATCTAATTGAAAGACCCTGATTGTATTATGCACGTATGCCATTTTCACGTTATACACAAAATAATACGTGTAGACGTCATTTGTACAATGCCACCGTTACACACGTGGTAAATTCTCATACAAACACGGATAGATTCATCATTTAGTTCCAATTTATGACAGAATTTGATTTATAGCCTTATAGTTTTTGTACGTATACCTGCCAACTTCTTCTTAGCCTTTATGTTTTAACAGGTCAACCGCACTAGTCAAACAATATCTAGGAAAATTGCGTAAGTGAGTTGCAGAATAGTGTTCATCAGTATGCAAGCGAAGAAGCTGTTTATCTTTAAGTGATATTGGAAGGCATATCTTTTGCCATATTCGGGTCATATTAATTTTCTTCGCATTTCTAATTTTAAAACTAACAATATTGCAGTGTTGTCGGTATAAGGGAGACAACCCTTATAAATTATCCCCATGCAGTTATGGTGTATTATAATTATCTAGCTTATTGGATTTATTAACTTAATATTACCAACAATAATAATCAATAATATTGCATTCAAAAAACGTTTTCCGGCCGGGTGTACAATGAAAAGGGGAAAATTTTAAAACTAGCGCAGTGAACTTCCAACGATTTAGGAGAAAAATAATCTGCTGTTGAAAATTACATAAAAGAGCAAGACTCATTTTTTAGGGGCAGAAATCAAAAAGATGGAAGGCGAACCGAATTTTTTCATTAAAATTACGATTCTCTGTTGGCCTCAGGTGCCTCCCCGTACGTGGGTGGGGACGGAGATACATTGTAGGCTCCCTTAGCTGGGAAGTGAAGCGCACAGAAGTGAAAAATAATCGACATATGCGCTCGAGAGTAGAATGTTATGGAGCTACTGACCTTACGCAAGCAAGGTGGAAAGCTAATTTGTCCTGCTGAATTGAACCCATATATAGCGGCGTGGGTCATGTGATTAGATTTCTGACATTATTACAGACTTATATTTACATTTAATTTAAATAAAGCTCTGTGCCCTTAACCACTTAGTCGAGGAGATCTCTAATAATATAATAAATATCTTCCGGGTGCTACTACATAAAATGAGCTGCGTCACGACAAAACCAACATCATGGGTTTGCGACCAGCATGGATCCAGACCAGCCTGCGCATCCGCGCAGTCTGATCAGGATCCATGCTGTTCGCTATCAGTGTCTCTACTTGTAATAGGGTTGGTAAGCGAACAGCATGGATCCTGATCAGACTGCGCGGATGCGCAGGCTGGTCCGGATCCATGCTGGTCGCAAACCCATTGTTGGTTTTGTCGTGACGCGGCTCAAATGTTTTAAACGGCAAATAGGACAACGTTCGAGTATTTGATCTCCATCCTAAGGAAACGGAGAGCGTGTTTTAAGTGGTGCAACAAACTGATATACAGCCTATAAAAAGCAAAATAGCCCATCAATTAAAAGGTGGGGCCAATTCAGTATGGTGTTAAAAAGCAATCACTTATAAATTGGTAAGTTTTTTTCCTCGAGTGGCTGTGCTTGAAGGAATAATTCAATAAGATTGTCCTTTTACAATAGATTTTAGTAATCAGATGACTGTACAATCATTATTATCTTAATTTTCTGAAGGAAGACTACCTTAGATGCACTTCTCGGAGTATTGTGTATTATTTATACGACATGCAGTCATCCAAATACAGATAGGTCAACAGGCTTTTATATTTTGAGCAGATTGGCTGGTAAAGCAACTGCAGCTCTAAGCTGGAAAAATTGCAAATGACCCTGCCCTTGCAGACAGGACCAGGTGTTTGCCTTCTCTTTAATATTTCTCAAGTCCGTGGAACAAAGCAATCAAGTACTAGGTAAAACTGCACTGACAGTTATACTCAAGCATGGGACACCAAGCAGAAATATGAAGATGATTAGGCATCTGTAAAAATACAAGCAGCCATTGTTTAATGGTAAAGGTAGTGTACCTAAAGCATGGGAAATCAACAAAGAACATTTGAAGATGGTGATCAAGTTTATTAATATTACATCACCTTTCCTCTACGAGAGGCAAGGTTTAATAACTACAATAACACACCATAGCTTAAATATCTAGCAAGACTACATGGATATGATATATTAGTAAAACTAAATATATTTGAAAGTATGCATTCTAACAAGCCAATGTACCTGTAAATCTATCCACTCTGTAACCTCTTTCAATCATAAATCATCTTACAATGACTAACATATAAGATTGTGAATGATTTTTTTGCTGAATAATTAAAGCACAATGCAAGGGAGGCGACTCTCGTTTTCTCTACAATTAATGAAAGCAAGGGAAAAAACTGAATAAATAAACTTGAGGATCATCATATGGTCCCTGCCTTAAATATTGTCCCTTTTCTGTTTCAAGAATTTTTTCTGTATTATAAAGTATTTTAAATTACTAAGTACAAAAGATTATTAGAATCATACTAGATGTACCTACTACATTTTTGTAGAAATTCTTCTTTTTAATAAAACAATACACAAACTTAGAAATACTTAAACAAAAAATACTTTAACAAAAAGCAATTTAAAATAGAAAATGACTGCACCAAACTGTCACCATATAGTCAATTGCACATTCTGGATTACACTTTGCAAATAAAAAGCACTTTTCAAGAATATAAAGTTGTTATTATTTTAAATAACTTTTAGGAATGATTTAGAATCACACCACATGTATTTACATCTTTTATTAGTTCTGAACTAACTTACAATATTATACCTCATAATTAAATCTCTTTCAAAAATAAAACAACAAAAAATTTGTTTTGAAAACTATGGCACACATCTATGCTACAAACTCAAAGTTATTTATCACAAACAAAAATACTAAAAACTGAAAGGAGTCAAATAGTGAACTTCTTCAAAGAAAAGTTCTTGCTTAAAACACAATTCATTAACATGAAACTATTTTTGTTACCTAAACAATTTTTGTTTCATCATAATCTTAAAACAAATTATGGTGGAGAATAGTGTAATATCTATTTACATGTATATCAAACTATCTTACTTTTCAATTAATGAATTAAATGTGACAAGCAGATTATGCTAAAGGGAGAGTATCAAAACTATGGAAAGCTCTTCGAAAAAGAAATATCTATACAGCTTTAAAGTTCATAATGAAGAGTTAATATAATTAATATATAACAACTAAATGATTAACACTCATTGTCAAAAGCTACATATAATCACATTTTGCTAGTTTGCAATATATAATTAAAAAAAAAAACAATTAAAAAAAGTTATTAGTAGTCCGTAGATCTTGTTCGCCATTTTTCCCCCTGACTATATAAACGTCGAAAAAGTTGTTTTTGTTTATTTTGTTTTATTTTCAAGATGAACTACAACACTGATCACTTTATCAACTGATACTTTAGACAACAACAACAACAACAACAAGATGTATGAGAACAAAATAACTTCACTGCTCTTTGATATTTCTAAAATTTTTATATATAAGTGTCGAGCTATTTAACTGTATCTTATGTTTAACGGCTGTAATTTTTTCGTTACTTAAGCAAAAAGCTCCTCTTCAATACGCTTCTCCTGGGCTTCTAGCTCGTCAGATATCACCTTTGGCAAATCCTCGCCTACCTGGAGCTTTAAGAAACTCTTGTTCTCACGAATGTCGTCTTCCCAATAGTGCTTAGGAAGGCTCATTAATTCGTCCCACTTGATGTCACCCAGACCTTCAAGGTTGATGGAGCCTGCAGACAGGAAAGAAAAATACAAACACCATATCAATCAATATATACATAACCCGTATTCCTACAGCAGGACATAGGGATAGTATACAAGTCACAAGGGATAGAAGAAAAACAACAACCATAATTAAATAACTAAAAAACAAACAAGCAGCAGCACACAACTGATAATCTGTGGTTGTAAATGTCTAGCTGTAATGAAACCTATGAAATCAGAGGTAGTCACAATGTTGACAGGAGAACTGATTTTTATTACAGTTCCTCTTTGATACGTTTTCCCATTGCATCAAGTTCATCCATGATGACCTTTGGTAGATCTTCACCGACTTGAGACTTTAGGAAACTCTTGTTTTCCTTGACATCATCTTCCCAGTAATGTTTGGGCAGGCTCATCAACTTGTCCCACTTGATATCAGTAAGACCATCTAAGTTCAAAGACCCTGTTTGAAACAAGAGATAAATCTAACTCTTCCGCAACCACCCTGACATAATCTCTGTATAAACAATTTTCATACACAACCTTTTTTTTCCAATATTATATTTGTAGAAATCTATTTCTCAATAGCAAATTTTTGTCAGTCGCAAGTATTTATGTATATTTTTCTAATTCTACAGTTGACTAAATGAAATACTGATCATATATGTTCCTTTTCTACAGATGTGCCTAGTCCCCATTTGCATGTACGCCAGAAATTGGTAAAATCTCTTTCACAGTTTTCCAATTTTTAAATTTTTATTTATTTATTTTGTTGGGCTTTTATGTCGCACCAACATAATATAGGTCATATGGCAACTTTCCAGCTTTACTGTTTGTGAAAAACCTCAGGTGCCCAAATGGCATTATTTCAGGCACAAACTGGCACTTGAGAAGAACAATCAGAGTTGCGTAAGCTAGCTGCATAGCTTCCTGACAAGAAAAAATCCAAAGTCCCTGTCAGGATCAGAAGCCAAAGGCAAGGCATATTTTATAATTATAAACCAAATTTTACAAAATATTTCAAATTAAAATAATTGGCAACTCTACTGCATTTGTCATACAACTGATCGACATTATCAAAATGCAAATATTCAACATTTCATGTATATATCTTTTCATGGTTTTCAAATAATTCTACAGTTACCAATTTTCATAATAATTATTAGTGGGGTATTACTAAGAACAATGTAGCTTCCAGAATAATGCTCCTTATCCTTCAACTGTATTCCAAATACCATCTTAATATTTTTACAGTATAGCTTGAGAAATAGGCTACGTAACATTTTAAGTTTAAGCACAACAACAACAACAACAGCAACTATGTATTGAAATTTTATAATGGCCAAATACTCTGTAAAAGAATTGAATATCTTTGGCAGTTTTTGAAAAATGAACCTCAACAGACAGATTCCTAACAACCCCAAACAAACAAAAAACCAAGAGCATCGCATATGATGTTCATCCACATCTATTAAGGGCAATGACCAATCAATAAACAATATTACAAAAATTCTAAGTTAAAAAGGGACATAACTCCAAAAATATAGCTTTCAGAATAATGCCTCTTGTCTAGCAAATGCACCTTGTCATGATAAGTATCATCTTGATATGTTTTAAAATGTTTCAATAATGGTCTTCATAAAAGTTTTTGCACAACAACAAAATGATCATGCATCGATCATAATAGCTTCGAGACAAATGCGCTAAATATCATATTAAAAAAAGGGATTTTTTTTTCTTCAAAGTGATTTTAGAATTATGTGCTTACGAAAATGTCACATTTTGATAATTATTAAGTTTAAGGTGAAAAGCTTAGATAGTTCTGTGAAGAAAAAAATTGACCCAAACAAATAAGTTAACGAACATCGAAGAAGATGTTCAATAGCTCCACCTTTTTATCTTCAAAAAGTGTAGTAAAAAAACCACAATACTAACCTTTCTTTGGTAAATAACCAATGGGTGACTTAAGGGCTATATCTTCATTTTCAACTCTTCTCAGGATCCAGTCAAGTACACGGATATTTTCTCCAAAGCCGGGCCACAAAAATTGTCCATCTTCATCAGTACGGAACCAGTTCACATGGAAAATCTTTGGAACCTGTCAAGACGGAAAAACAAACTGATACATAAAAAGCAATATTTTACATTGTGACATCTATATATTCTTATTCTTTTGATGAGATTTTCAGTAAAACCGACTGAGTTTTCAGGGTATAAGAATACCTTCTGTATCCATCAATACTCAATTTTACTGTCAATCAAGTTAACTACTGAAAATTGGAAAAAAAGTGTGTATTCAGTTTGTATTTCATGAAGGAAAAAAAATGAGGTTTGAACCCACGCGGTCAGCAATCCTTAGATGACTAGTCCATTGCATTAACCACTCGACCATGCCGCATCACTTTCATCACAATTCACTTGTACCAGTATTAGATAAAACTATTTTAGTTACCTTATTAGGTGCATGATCAAGGGAAAGCCAGTGATCAAGGTATTTTCCAAAGTTGTAGCCCATGAAGGGTCTCATTGCCATTGGGTCGTGCATGATCTTCTTGCCAGTGAACTCAGCTGCAGCAGTAGCTTCTGATTTAACACATGCTCCAACCATTACACCATGACGCCAGTTGAAGGACTCGAACACCAAAGGTACGCCTAAATACAAAAACATGATATCATTGCTGTTTGCAAAGTCTTATTTTCACAAATACTAACATTTAATGCTTCAAGCTAATTTACTTATTTCACCTTCTTATTTGTTCATCTTAAAGCACGTAAGTATGCCTTCATAATAAAATAATACAGATCATGAATTACTCCTTTACATAAACCAACCTGTACGGAACATGTTGTAAGAATGTTAATTTGGTAACAAACCAAAAACTTGACACTCGGCTGGTTGTTCACAAACACTGTTTTTTTTAAAAAGTCAGTCTAACAAATTTAACTTTAAGGAGGAGATAATTCTAGAAATATGGATGCTAGATTTTATCATTTATAAACCTATATTATTATGATGTGGGAGTTTTAAGTAAATCCTATAGGAAATGAAGAAGTTTGAGTAAAAAATTACTAATTTCTCCAAAAAAATCTAAGTTCAAGGGGGACATAATTCTGGAAATAGTCATGCTAGAGTATTGAACCTTCTCACAAATAAAGGTAGATATATTAAGAAATAAAGAAGTTGTTAAAAAAAAATAAACATTTTTTTTTTCATGAAAATTCAAAGTTCAATGGAGGTAATTCTGATAATTTTTGTGCTAGAGTTGTAAACCTTGTCACATATGATGTGGTTAATGACCAGAAACTTATATTTGAAGTTTGAAGTACATGTAAATACCTTAAGAAATAAAGAACTTATAGTGAAAAAGTGTAAAAACTAGAATCAGAAATCTTGACAAGGTGGCTGATGCTTGGTAAGTATGACAGCTCTCAATATAATCCCTATAGTCAAGATTAAAATGACGTGTATAATCTCCATACTGCCATCTATACATATTTTAAGCATAACATTGTTTACAGGTCTTAATGACTTATCACAAATATTTGCCTTGTTTTAAGCCTATTTGTTGCCATAGTAACCAATTTTTTTAACATAGGAAGAAAAGAAAAAGACATGCATAATCTCCAGACTGCCATCTACCCATATTATAAGTTTCATAAAAATAATTTCAGTACTTTTTGCATTATCACCGGATCCAGTTTTGTGCATGGAAGGAAGGACTGATGGACACACAGCACGACAGACAGTCAGATAGACTGAGGGTAAACCTGATGATTTTCACTGCACAGGTCCTATAATCTATTTACCTTGTGGTCTCCTTCCTCCAAAGATAAAAGCTTCAATTTTCACTCCCTTTTTGTCCTCCCATTTTGGATGTATAATTGGACACTGGCCAGCTGGACAAGCGAATCTAGAGTTAGGATGAGCAGCTTTGCCTGGTTGCCCGATTCTATATGGCTGATTTAACCATGTAGTGATACCAATGTTCTATAAATAGACAAACAATATGCTGTTATCTTGGACAAGCCAGACTTCATTTTTCTACTCATCCCATATTTATGTTCTTTTTTTTTTATTCACAGAAATAACTGCAAAATTTTTTAATATTATTATTCCTTTATAAAGACACAACAAAATTACCTTGTCCACTTCTTCTTCAAGTCCTTCCCAATAGAAGCCACCATCTTGGGTCTCGGCAACATTGGTGAAGATGGAGTTTTTCATACATGTTAACATGGCATTTGGATTAGTTTTCATGTTTGTTCCCGGGCATACACCAAAAAAGCCAGCTTCTGGGTTGATACCATACAAGTCTCCTTTTTCATCAAATCTCATCCAGGCAATATCATCACCTTGAATATGTTGAAAAAATCTTTAATAATCAAATAAAAACCTGATATTTTTAAGTTATTCTCTTAGCTTATATTTCACATTACATATGCAGATTACTTATTTATTGTTTAGTTTTAATTTAAAATCTAGAGACTAGTTAGTACCTACACTTTATAATCCATTATTTTCATGAAGGCTCTACAAACTACAGTATGCAACATTTCTATACATAGAGCAATTAATATTATGTAAGTTAGTTTACTGACTTATTAAAAACACCAATATATTCACAAAATTAGACCAAAAATTGGTATAAAATTGTATATTTTCTGTTTTACATTAACTTAACAGCTTGTAAGCATTTCCTAGAATTGTCACTTTACTACAAAATTGTTACTTAAACTAGAAATGTGTCGTCACGCCACAGATGCCCCCGTATGCACCCACATGTCAGATGTTATAATATTAAGTTCCAAATTTGTTTTGAAAAAACTGTTGTTTTTTTTCATTTTAAGTTCAAAATTAAGGCCTTAAAACTATACAATGTTAACACAAACCATTTTTATTTCATTATACAAAGTTCAAGGCACTGACACTATTCAGTGTTAAGATTTTGTAAATTGCATATTGCATATTTGTAGCCAAATAATGACTACATACATTTCCACAAAAGTATGAGTGCTGAAACTGAAAATTCAAAATTTTTCCAACATTCAAGGGAGATAACTTTGTCCAAAATCATTGAACCATGACCAAATTCAAACTTGAACTGCTTATTCCTAAGATGTATCTATATGTCAAATTTGAGTTGAATGTGTACAACCATTGGGGAGATAATGAACGGAAACTAAAAATTTCTGACTTTTTGCAAAGTTCAAGAGGGATAACTCTGTCAGCTATCATCAAACCATGACCAAATTCAAAGTTGACCTGCCCATTTCTTTGATGCATTCATATGTCAAATTTGAGTTAAATGTGTAATTCTGTTGGGGAGATAATGAACGGAAACTGAAAATTTCATCAAGGGGCATTACTCTGTCAAAAATCATCGGACCATGACCAAATTCGAACTTGACCTGTATTTTCCTATGATATATCCATATGTCAAATTTGAGTTGAATGTGTGCAACCATTACTAACCAGCCATTTTATGGCGGGGGCATAAAAAGATCTTTCCTTCTTCTGTTTGTATATAAAAAGTCATACACACAGCTTAGACTGGAATAATACTTTGATCAAAGTTTGGCTAGATTTAGTCATGTGATTCAACATGTTAACTTTACAATAAAATATCATACAGACAGTCACTTAACCCTGCCCCACCCCTCAAAAAAAAAAAAATCATCTTTCCTTACCTACGCATCTGATTTTGAAGCCCGGAAGAGCAGATGTCAACATAGCCATGTTAGTTTTACCACATGCACTAGGGAAAGCTGCAGCGATGAATTTCTCTTTGCCTGTCTTCTCATTAGTGATACCCATAATCTGAAAAACATTAAAGACAGTATTTCTAACTTTATTTGTACCTTTTTAAAAACTGATTCTGACAAGAATATTAAACTTTGTTTACATTATGAACATTGTGCCCAAGTCTATTTACATAATGAACATTGTGCCCAAGTCTATTTACATAATGAACATTGTGCCCAAGTCTATTTACATTATGAACATTCTGCCCAAGTCTATTTACATTATGAACATTGTGCCCAAGTCTATTTACATTATGAACATTGTGCCCAAGTCTATTTACATTATGAACATTGTGCCAAAGTCTATTTACATAATGAACATTGTGCCCAAGTCTATTTACATAATGAACATTGTGCCCAAGTCTATTTACATTATGAACATTGTGCCCAAGTCTATTTACATTATGAACATTCTGCCCAAGTCTATTTACATTATGAACATTCTGCCCAAGTCTATTTACATTATGAACATTGTGCCCAAGTCTATTTACATTATGAACATTGTGCCCAAGTCTATTTACATTATGAAAATTGTGCCCAAGTGAAGTCTGTTTTCATTATGAACATTGCGTCAAAGTCCTGAACTATACACAAGAATGACATTTTAATGATGTCAATGCTTTGAATATCATTGTCCACATTTATATTAACAATTTCAAGTCTAACCTTAGAATTAAAGCCTATAATTATTTATGAGATAGCAGAGTTAACCAATGAAAAGTCAGTATTTTCAGACATCCAAAAATCAATAAATTCATTTTTGCTCATTCTTAATATTTAATGTGTAATTAAAAAAACAAACAAAAAAAACTAAACCCAGACATACCAACATATGTTCTGCAAGCCATCCCTCATCTCTAGCCAAGTTGCTGGCAATTCTAAGGGCAAAACATTTCTTCCCTAGCAAAGAGTTACCTCCATAACCACTTCCAAATGAACAAATCTCCTTCTTTTCAGGGAAATGCCCAATAAATACCTTCTCTGGGTTGCATGGCCAATGATTAATAGTCTTCCCTATAAATTAAGAAAATAAGGCATATCAATAAATGTCTGTCTGAAAACTGTCCAAAAATCAGGGTCTATCAAATAGAATTGAAAGACCATGCCTAAATAGAGCACAGACTTTAATGTATACAACAGTAATCCAATATGGATTTACTCCTTGGTTATGTTTTTAAAAATCCAAAATAAGAAGTTTCGGACAAAAAACCCAAACCATCCAACAAAAAATTTGCCCTAAAAGTGGCTAAGAAAACTGTTATCAAACATACATCTGTTTGTTTGATTGGGTTTTACGTCACACTGACACAGTATAGGTCATTTGGCGACGTTCCAGCTTTTACTGGTGGAGGAAGACCTTAGGTGCCCTTCCGTGCATTATTTCAAGCACGAACGGGCACCTGAGTAGAACCACCGACATTCCTAAAGCTAGCTGGATAGCTTCCTCACATGAAAGAATCCAAAGTCCCTGTTGGGATTTGAACCCAGAGTGGTGAGGGGCAAATGGTTTGAAGTCCTTAACCACAATAATCACTTCAAATCACTTGTCACCTATTTCTCAGCACCTATTTCTCAGCATTCAAATATATGCAAAGAGCTTAAATCTTTTTTACATGGATTAATATCAACCTATATTTTAAAAGACTGGTAGTTATACTAAGCTTCCATCACTTGCGGCATCATACAGGCATGTTATGGGGACTTCTGTCTGGTTTTGTGATACAGAAAATAATCCCTGACGGACAACTCCATACATTAATGCAAGACACTTAATTCAATATACATTATTTAATTTTCAAAGATACATACTCTGGTTTGGTCTTGGCGATCCCATTGAGTGTAAACACTTGACAAATTCTCCATCTCCAAGTACTGACCAGATTTCGGGCGAAACGCGCGCCATGATTCTCATACATAACAAGACGTAGTTAGAGTCTGTCAACTCGATTCCAATCTTAGATAATGGAGAACCAATAGGACCCATGCTGAATGGAATCACATACATAGTACGTCCTGTAATTATAAATGTAGATCTTAAGATCTTAATCTTATTGGGTTTCTGTCAGTGGAAAAATTACAATAAAAACAAGGAAACTGGTAAAAATTTATTGTTTTTATTTCTCCTCTCTCAGGATTTTCATGTCTACGTATTTGAATATATTCCATCATTTGCTTTTGTTGCCTTTTTTGGCAATTTGTACAGCTATAGTGATTTATTATCTTAAATGGAGATCAAAATAGGACGTTATTTCCCATTTACATTATGACAAATAATTTCACATACTTTCTCAAAGAATGAAATACTTATTCATTTGTGGTGCAATTAATGCTTAATGAGGCAGAAATGTAGGATATGCTCCTGGAACAATCAAGAAGTCTTACCTGCCATACAGCCTTCGAAGTTTTTCATTTGCGCTTCAGCATCTTCGGGAGAGGCCCATCTACCCAGAATTCCCTGTACACCTGGGGCAACATGTGGCACAGTCTGATATTTGTCTTTTGTACAAATCCAGGTCTTGGACTCTACTCTGGCTACATCAGCAGGGTCAGTGCGACAAATGTAGCTGCACAAATATAAAGACAAATAATTCTGGCTTTAAATTCTCAAAGACTGAATATTAGTACAGTGGACATGTATTTTGTAAATTCTATTTTATGTTATTTCACTATTAATGTATTTATGCAGAAAATATAAAGTGATAATTTTTTCTACCAAGTATCAATTTCGTTAACTGTTACTAGGAAGTTTAATCCATTACTTGATAAACCAATTATTTTTTCACCTCCCTAAAATCAAATAGTGATCTAACATGCCAAAACATAAAGACATCAGAAAGGCTTTTATATTTACTTCGAAAAAGCTGTTCATTTAATTCATATATTGGGGTTTTGTGAAACTGTCCACTCCATAAAATTCATGTGTGGTGTTTTGTCCACTCTATAAAATTTTGAGTCATGGGGTTTTGTCCTACATTCATTTTTAGTGTATTTTTAAAATTTCAAAAAAGTTTCTCATTTTCTAATTGCCTAAACCATCTTTTTTATTTCTAGCTTTTTGGCAATAGTACAGTTGTAGTGATTTAATATTTTGTATGAGAGTCAAATTACTACTTCGTTTACATTTTGCTACTTTTATGAATTATTTCACATTTATCATTTCTTTTTCCATGTTACAAGCATCTTACATGCTCTAAACCATTATTTAAATCAAATATGCCTTTTCTAAAGTGGTAAAAGAGTATTTGTTGAAATTATTTCTGAGGAATAATGTGCCTTTAAATACTAAATATAATTTTTTTTTATAACAAATTTTACTTGTTCTCATATTTGGGGAGTTTGTGGAGAAGACCTCTTTCTTCAAGCTTGTGAATGACTTCATCAGCTTCAGCTTGAGAACCATCACAAATATACAGACATCTAGGCTGACATTTCTGTACCTGTAATACACACAGAAGTATGAATTAACATTAACATGTCAAAGGTCAACATCAGGGACTGCGTTCAGGGCGAAGTCAGGCGAAAACTTCCCCGTAAATATTTTCACTTCGCCCTATATGATCTCAAAAGCGAAATTCTAGTCGCCCTAAAATCTCTATGAAATGTGTGACATGCATATTTCTCCACTCGATAATACTGCCTGGAGGCAAATTTAATTGTGTAATCTGATGTTATTAGCACACGCGCTGAAGCCATAGCGACATTTGGAATTCCACATTGCTAAAAATAGCGTATTGATTATACGGTAAATTAAGACTGTGAAAGACCCTGATATGACTGCAGCAGACGATAAAAAGCTAGCTAATTGATATTAATTAAGTTACCTCAAACGTATATTTGTATCTTATTTACAATATCCTCTGTACGTTTTGTTTGATTTACAATATTCCCTAAACGTTCTGTTTGATTTACAATTTCCCCTTATTTCCTGTTTGATTTACAATATCCCATATACGTTTTGTTTGATTTACAATTTCCCCTATATGTCCTGTTTGATTTACAATATCGCATATACGTTTGTTATCCCCATTACATTTATGATAGTAATATTCATCATTAAAACTGATGTAAATTGATAGAATTTGGATAATTATTATGAATTAAAGAACTTTTCTTCTTAATTAATTGCATTTAAAAGTTAGAGTCAGAAACTGTTGAACCTAAACAAAAAGGTTGTGTTGATTTAAATCAAATGCTAAAATAACTTTATTGAGCAACCAGTACTTCAGTAAATATCATCATAGCGATTTTCAAATACACATTTGTTTATTTTCTATGCCATATACATGTATATTTTATATGCATGTACATATAAAGGTGTACATGTATATTTTGTGAAAAAAAATCCAATGATATAACTCAATTTGATGATCACTTCTCCCTAGATTCCAAAAACTTCTCCCTATTTTTCCTGAAGGGAGAAGTCACTTTTCCCTAAATTTTCAGTCTAAGGTAGTCCCTGCAACATGAAAAGCAATTAGTATTACTGTATGCAATATTTTTGGATAAATTGTATTTCTTGTCATGATTCCTTTTGCATCCTGGACTTTTGTACCAATTTTGCTTCATTATCTCAACTATTTCAATAAATTAAGATCTTAAAAGTCAACATGTAAAGCAATTACTGTATGCAATATGTTTGAAGGATAAAAGAATGATAAATTGTATATGATTCCTTTTCACAAAGCCTTGGTGCATCCTGGTCTTTTCTACCAATTTTGTTTTAATATCTCAATTATTTCAATAAATTAAGATGTTAAAAGTCAACATGTAAAGCAATTACTGTATGCAATATTTTTAAAAGAATAAAAGGATAAAACAAGAACGTCTTTGTTAAACACAAATGCCCCCGGCTCAGATTCTTGTAACAATATTTAAAATAAAGGCTGTATGGGCAAAAGTGTAAAAAAATCTATTTTTAGCACTGGTGACCTTGACCCAACTGACCCAGAACTTCATCCAAAGGAAGAATTTCATGCAACTTATTTTCCTACCAAATATGAAATAAATCTGTCAATATATAAAGGCTGTATGGGCAAAAGTGTAAAAATCTATTTTTAGCATTGTTGACCTTGACCAAACTGACCCCAACTCCATCCAAAGGAAGAATACCATGTAAGTTATCTTCCCACCAATTATAATACAAATCGATCAATAAATAAAGGCTGTATGAGCAAAAGTGTTAAAATCTATTTCTAGCACTGGTGACCTTGACCCAACTGACCCCTACCTCCATACAAATGAGAATACCTAAATTTCATGTTCCTACAAAATATACAAGACATCTGTCGATAGAATAAGGTTAATTCACCTGTAAAAGTGTAAAAAATCTATTTTTGACATTGGTGACCTTGACCCAAATGACCCCTCACTAAAGGAAAAGGAAGAGGACTGCCCTTGGTATGACTATTATAAACATGAAAGACATTAACTTAAAAAATAAAGGCTGTATGAGCAGAAATGTTTAGATTTATTTTTTTACACAAGTGACCTTGACCTAGAGACGCCTAACGCAACAAAAAATTAGAGGACCGTTAAAGGTATCCACCTACCAAATACGAAAGATATCATTAAATAAATTAAGAAATTAGGTGAAATTTTTTGATAAATCCAACTCATCAAAACAATTCTAACTACCTTTTTGTAATTTAGTTAAAAGAATGTTTTGAAGCAGTTTTTTCCAATGAAAAGTTTAAGTTATTTGAAAAATATTAAAATTTTTACCAAATTACAAAAAATGATCACATTCTGTCCTGCTCCTATACTACTAAAAGACTATATGCTTGTTTTTTGAGAGACAAATTTATAACAAATATATTTATAACAAATTATATTTATCAAGTGTTTGGGAGTTTTTTCTCCAACCAGTATATCACACATTTGAATGACAGCCCTACATTTAAGTGCAAGTTTTATGAGAATTTAGACTAAAATTAGATAAAGGCACTAGTGCATGCAAAAGCAATAAAATCTTGTCAAGAAAAACAGCAATAAGACTACACATAAAAATGGCAAACCATTTTAACATTATTATAATGTAAGATTCTAGGATATAATAAACAAGATTACATGTTCAACTTACCCATTTGGCTACAAATCTCTGAACTGCCTTTGGAAGCTTGTTAAAGTCACCTTTTGCTATTGGTACATGCCCCAACTTTTGCACAACAATCTCATGAACCTCGTAAAACAAACTGTCATCACAATCATCCATTTCTTGTTGTCCTTTCTTCTGTGCCATGTTGGTACACTGTGTTTGAAAATTATTAAATATCTTATGCAAAGCCAATTTTGCTAATTCTTTCTGAACTAACACACTAGGTTATACATATACAGTCAAGCCCCGCCTAATGACCACCCCATTTTCACAACCAATCTGCTGTTACTATCGATTTTTCAAAGAACAGATATTTTCTTTATATTTCAATGGTCATACTATCTTAAATTGAGATCATCCCAGTTTTACTTAATACAGCCATTTTCCTGCAACCAATTAACAATTTCGCCTGTATTTAAAACTTGTTTATTAGACCATACCTGATTATTTGTAAAATCATGCATGTTGACACTTAAACACAAGCATAGCCTAGGCGTTCTTTATTGAATCAATGGTAACACAAGAATATTTTAACTAGAAAAATGAAGACTTTAATGGCATTGTTGATTGTTAAGATATTTTCTGATTGAAAGTAAGTTAAGCAGTTTGATTTCTTTTAAGTTTTGTTGCTTGTAAATTCTGCTTACTTTCAAATACCTTTGTCACAGGTGTTTTAAAGATGTACTGATGATATTTCCTTGAGCTATTTAATAGTTTATAAAGAAAGGGAAATAAAAATGATTTTCTTTAAAATCATTTTTATTTCCCTTCCTTTATAAACTATTAAATAGCTCAAATTATCAATAAAGCAAGAGTAAATGTTCAATTATGCCTTTTTTCTGAACACTCCTGAAAATACTTCATTTTCATTGACATGCAGAATAATATACAAATCATATGGTTACGGTACATGATGCCGCCAAAAGATGTCCATTGACCCCAACAGTAATTTTAGAGACAATCCAACATTAAAACCAACCCACTATCAAGACCATTTTTCTTCAGAAACACATGAAGCAGGGTTTTTTTCTGGCCTATTTTGATGATCAATATTGGGTCATGTTCCAATGCCGAAATGTATGTTTTTTTTCCTCAATTTCAAGAAATAGCATTAAGTTAAATTATTGTCATTTTGTTAAATTTAACTGCACTGTGCCATAGAAAATTGTAAATGAGACATGATTGAGTGAAATATAAAAGGAGTTTAATTAATCAAATGTCATGTCATGTTCCCAAAGTGCTGAGAAAAAACCCTGAGCTGTCTCACTAGCAGGCTAGGGCTCCATAATAATATAATTGAGGATATTTGTTTGTTCTGAGTAAATATGATTATATCACACTCTGAAGTGTAAAAAAAGCAATGTTTACACTAGCATATAGTACATGTGGAAATTAGGATATTTTCACGCTTCTGAATCAGCATGTATTATCAAAGAAAGAAAAACGACTGTGCATGTGAAAGATTTCCTCCAGACAATACCTGGACATTTCAATGTCTCTGGTGACCTTGACCTCAGACATGACCTGGATTAATCCGATTATGCTGGTAATATTAAGAATCATGATTATGGACATAGAACATATCATCCAAAGTAACTCAATTTTTCATATATTTTACTACTTTTATCTGAAGTTAAACTTGACTTCTTTCTCACACCTTGACCAGGACCTGAATTTGCACGCAACACTCCTCATAAAGTCCCAATAATGGTGAACATTTGTGCCATGTTACATATGTACATTGTAACAAGGTATGCTCTAGACAAAATCTAGACATTTCATTATCTCCAGTGAATGTGACCTTGCATATATTAAGCTTGCAAGACTCAGCATTAGTAATTTACAAACATTTTTAATATAATCCCTCATCTACAAAATTATTCATTAACATATTAACATATTTTTATATTCTTATCCGTCATTTTGATCGAAGTTTTGAAAGTAAAATTTGTGTGATTTTTCTTTTTAATTAGAAATTTGATACAACTAGAGCTATAATATTTTACTTTTAAATACATTTACAAATTTTTCATGAAAAAAAAAAAAGCATATAACTTTAAGGTCTATTGCACTAACTAGAGTAAAATCTACCAGTTTCCAGACAGAATTTGATTGTCAATTTTTTGATAACAGACATACATTAATAAAACTAACATACAAAAACATGAGCTCTAACTACGTCCAAAAACACAATTAATACTACCTGGTGATGTAGGCAATGTACAAACTGAAGGGTTAACCGTTAAATTACGTGAATAGGTCATTAAAAGTGTAAATTGTTCACTCTTGCAGAACCAGTGTCCAAGCTCTTATTCATATTTGTTTTTAACTGATAATTATTCTAATATAACAAAAATTTCTTCTAACATATTGCCTTTCGTATAAGCTGATTTACTGGAAAATGTTTATAATAGGAAAAAAAATTAATAAGTGTCGTCTGCATTGCAGTGTCTATTCTAGGACGCGCGATTGCGCGATTCACGCTAGTATTTCACAGATCGCGCACAATTCAAAATCATGTGCGTGAAAATCGCGCATCTATAAAAAAAGTTAATAAAATCGTAAAACTTCCATCCCGCATTATATTTGGTTGTTTTGTTTACATTTACATCGGAAACCGAAGGGAGTTAACTGTAAGCTAATTATAGTAATTTAGTACCGTATGGTACTGGTTACGTGAGTTGACGGAAATTAACAGAATGTTCCGTACCAACCGGAACTAGTGTGCTCGGTCTGACAGTTGGGCGCCATTTTAGTGTAGTAAATAATCAAGAAAAAACGAGGCAATTCCTAGCTTGGCTACGATCTAGACGTGAAAGATAGGTCGATTGTTTGTATTGTCAATCCCTTTATAATCAATCGCGGCAGTTCTGTAATAATCTGTTTTCGTTTAAAAATTAAGGGGGGACAACTTCTGCTGCCTTAAATAAATAACGCCTCAGTGTAAACTTAATGCAGACGATTTAACATTGGCAGTTTATTTTGGCACCCCTTGATTTTGAAAATCGCCCCCTTTTTTGAAATAGAGGGGGGAAAATCACCCCTATTTTTCAATTCCTAGAATAAACACTGCATTGTACATGATAATTGCTATCCCAAATTATATCCCGAAATAAACAAAATATTGTGCATGCGCAGAACAAATTACTTGCCCCAATGGGATGTAAGACTGTTTTTATAACACATGTAAGATATCCTCACCAAAATTTAATAATGTAACAACTTGGAAGGAACTTTATTTTCACACAAACAATTATACTACCCCCATCTTCATGACATATAATACTGATCGTCATAGATAAAGCCGAAATCAAGCCGTTATAACACTTGTCCGGAAACTGGTCTTGTCCGGAAACTGGTTCCTGACCAGTAGACTACCTTAAATTATACTTAGATTGACAAGGTTAATACCTCCTCTGACCTTGTCCTTGCTAACCTTAGATATAAGGTCATCACTTTATTTTTTTCATATGTGTTATCAAACCCACTAAGCATGAAACAAGACTGAAATCTTTGTAAGACCTTGACAGTAACATATTACATTAACAAATATTTTAAACAGGATGAAAAATGAAGTAATTTACTGCTGTTATCTAGTGGTTTTAAAGATAAATAGTACTACTTTAAACACTGTTTAAAAGTCATGTGATTTTATAGGTTGTAAAAAAATAGATAAAACGTATATGCATTAAATCATTTTTCTGTCAAAGTTATTCCTATCTTTTCATAAATAAAAAAAACACTTTTTTTCATGATTGAATACATGTCTGTAAAATATCTATTCTCAAAAACAACAAACAGGAAAGGAAACTAATTTAATATTCTTAACTAATTTAATATGCATATTTATTTATTATCATATAAAGTTCCATTTCCTACATAGCCATTAATAAATAAAAAGTTGATTTAACAATAAAAATATACCTTGACATATGTTCTCAAGTTACAATATATACATCAGTATACTGCATTGTTATCAACAGCTGATAAAATGAGATTATTATTTCACATAATTATAGATAAACCTACTGTCTATCTCTGCATCAGTACCATGATGCAAAACCTATTAAATTTTAAAGTTAAAAGAATTATATACCTGTAAAACAAATAGTCCTTTTCACACAGCAAAGAACTTTTGAGATTGAATACCAAAATATAGTGTCCTTCAAGTTCACTTTACTCAGTCATTCAAGGCCACGTCCTTGACCTTAGTCTGTTTATCATCTATTTTGTTAATAAAGCGACCTCTAAATGTGTTGAAATAACAAGGATTGGCACAGAATCAACGCGGACACTTAAGAAAACATGATAAACAACGCATACCTCACGTATCTTTTATAGTTGCAGACAGACGTTAAAAAACATAAACAGTTTCTGTTTCGATTCTAGATATTTGTTTTGTTCAAAGGTGTGGAAGTAGATCGTGATTTTTCGACAATAGGCTTACCCCATGAGCTATGTCATGAGCTGAATTATAATGAATAATTTAAATTGAAATCCAAACTTTAACCTAGCTTTAAAAAAAATCAAAATCTGTCGTATCTGTACAAATATTTGAAAAAAAATAATAGCTTACCCTCAGTTTTGCGTTCTGTAAGCCGGCCGGTCAATGATCCCAGTCACTGCGCATGCGTGTAATTGAGTGGTTCATTTGGAACGATTCGTTGCTTACCCTATCGCATCTTCTCGGCGATTTCCGTAACACTTCGGATTTAACAACCGCCAATCGCAACTAATCGGCCCTTTCCGTCAGTCTTTGGATTATAGATAATAGCCGAGGCAGTTCCGAATGAACAACCGCAACTTGTCGGTTTTTCCGTCAAACTTCGGATAAGGCCCTCGGAGACTAATTAGTGTCAAATTATGTCTACGAAGTTTGACGGAAAGGGCCGTGAAGATGCGATTGCCTCAAAGTTTGACGGAAAGGGTCGAAAAGATGCGAATGTCAAAGATTTCCGGTGTTGATGTAAACAAAAACATGAAAACATAAAAGTAAAAAAAAAATCTAAAATATTTCATTGTTGTAAACAAAGAAAGGTCTAGCTAATGGTTTCAGATCCCGTGTTAGTCAACGCTTTTAGATTAACGTTTATTATAATTAATCAATGAAATAATTTTAGAGAAAACAAAACAAACACCTGGCTTTTCCTGCATTCTTTGGTGGTAAAAAAAACCCCACTGAACAAAGATTACAACTAGTCCTTCATTGAAAGACATCGCATTTTCTTTTTTTTTTACAGTTTGACGTTTATCGGAAAATGTTGTTAAAGCGGATTTGACCCATGTAAAAAATAGCTTCAAATCCGCGGTTACGTCTAAAAATTTGGACTAAGATTACAACCATAGGTGTTCGGCGCGATGATTGGTCACTACCCCCGCAGCCCCCCCCCCCCTCCCCCACTCTACAGCCCTCCTACCTCTCAAATCCATGTAAAATACAGTATTTTCTGACATTTGAAACATGTTTTAATATTTGGTTTATGCTTTTAATTCAATAACCTTCATTTCCTACAAAAAAAATAAAAAGTTGATACATATATATTTAGTAAAGGTATGCAACTCGCCGCTCAATTTTCAGCACTCATCTTAATATGAACTCCATAACTTCAACATTTTTTCACCAATTTTCAATATTTTGGTACCAAATGGTAGGGAATTGATTACTCTTGAAGGAAATAAAGCTGTCATTACGATCATTTCAAGTTATCAGAAGATGTGTAATCTCAAACTCACCGCAAGTGTAACTCGACAGTGATCTGACCGCTGGGTTTTCTTCAAAATTACCCGACTAAACGGCAGTTTATTCGAAATGAATGAATATTTCATTGTATTGCGCATATAAATATGATCAAATTATATTATTATTTGTAATAACTGTTCAATCAAAACATCTTATAAAACTATAACAAACCTTTTTTCCGATATGCCAAATTCTCAAATTCAAAATGAAAGTACACATGTATAAACGGAAGCATTTGTATGGAGTATTTTCATTGGTCGTGTGAAAACCTTAGACCAATGAAAATACTCCGTACAAAAAATTAAGAGGAGAGCACTCTGTAGAACTATTACTTGCATTATAATTTGGAATTCAACATATAGGAAAAAAGGTTTGTTATAGTTTTATAAGATGTTTTGATTGAACAGTTATTACAAATAATAATATAATTTGATCATATTTATATGCGCAATACAATGAAATATTCATTCATTTCGAATAAACTGCCGTTTAGTCGGGTAATTTTGAAGAAAATCCAGCGGTCAGATCACTGTCGAGTTACACCTGCGGTGAGTTTGAGATTACACATCTTCTGATAACTTGAAAGGATCGTAATGACAGCTTTATTTCCTTCAAGAGTAATCAATTCCCTACCATTTGGTACCAAAATATTGAAAATTGGTGAAAAAATGTTGAAGTTATGGAGTTCATATTAAGATGAGTGCTGAAAATTGAGCGGCGAGTTGCATACCTTTACTAAATATATATGTATCAACTTTTTATTTTTTTGTAGGAAATGAAGGTTATTGAATTAAAAGCATAAACCAAATATTAAAACATGTTTCAAATTAAAAATACTGTATTTTACATGGTTTTGAGAGGTAGGAGGGCTGTAGAGTGAGTGCTGGGGTGAGGGGGGGGGGGTCTGCGGGGGTAGTGACCAATCAACGCGCCGAACACCTATGATTACAACCAAATCAAGTGTACAAATACAGGCTTCGCGAAAGTTGACGGACCGTCGGACATGTCCGGCAAAAATCAGGCCGGTCCGTTTTTTTTTGTCCGGTACGAATACCGGGATATATCCAAGACCGAGTTTTCTCCCTTGCTTAAAAAAATGTAAAACGAGTTTTGATTCGCCGTTTCATTATAAGTGTCCAATACATACGACTGTCAATAACCAAAATGACGGTGTTACTACATTATTACGCTGGCGCTACGCCCTGCAAAAATCGTAAACTATCCAATGAAGAAAAAAAAGCGAAACAAAAGGAATACGAGTCCAGGCGCCCGCCGAGAAAATTTGTGGGTACCCGGTAAATGGAAAAATGGCTGCTTTGACCATGAATGTTTTGATTTCCAGACAGAGTCCATCCACAGGTGCTTGAAACAAACTTTTTAAAGTTTTATATGGGCTATATACTGTATATCTTTATATACATATATAGACTGGTTATGTAAAATATTTGATTATGTGACTAGCGCCTGTGAGTCCATCAATCTGGATAAACTAATGTTTTATTTATTGGAATAAAATTGTGTTGCAAACCTTTAAAAGTTGTTATGTCTTTAAAAAAAACACCAAGGTATTACCATATACATATATTTGGGGAAAAAAATTTGGTCAGACAAAAGTTCTTTCGGCCAGACAAGAATTGAAAGTTTGTCTGACCGAATGTCAGGCAAATTTTTCAGCAGTTTCGCGAAGCCTGCAAATAGGGCCGTCCTGGTTCTGTTGAAAACCCACTGAACAAAGATTACAACCAAATCAAGTGTTGTCTGTCAAAAGCTATATATAAATTTGTGAAATATACTGTATCTAGTATATATATATACCAACAATAAATAAATTTTGATTTGATTTGTTGGGCCGTCCTGGTTATGGTGCAGTAAAATTCTATATTGCATGGACAAGATGCAAAAACCACTTTCTATATTAATAAGGGAACAAGACACTTCACTCCCCAGACGCTTCACCCCTCAAATTTTGAAGACACTTCATCTTTCGAGATATGGAAATTGAATCAAACCAGGTTTATGACTGAGACAGGTGTTAAAACTTAGAATGAATAATTTTAAGCTTAGCAAAGTGAGGTCACAGCCTGACTCAGTGTCTGTGAGATTTAGTGACGATTTGCCACACATAAGAATAGTGATAGGCCTATATAGCAAATTCATGTCAGATTCTTAATATGAAAGAAGGCAAAGCCTATGAATGGTCAAGTCACATAAAAAGATTTTCTTTCATTATTTTCTTAACATTTTTGATTTTATAGGTGTCATTCAGTATTTCATTTTCAATTGGAACACGGCAATGATTATTCTTATACCGAAAAGTTGCGATTTTAAATCATCAGAATTACTGGCTGATTATCACCGAGAAAAATGGCATCGCCCAACTAGATATGACACTGAAAGTTTCATTGATATATGTAGAAATCTATGTACAGTAGAAACCCTCAATTAAGACCATCATTGGGACTGGACCAAAGTGGTCTTAATTGCGGGGTGGTCTTAATTGTGAATATTCTTATAGATGCTTACACACTTTTTGACCATGGTCTATTTTAGTCATTTTGTATGAACAAACAGTATATATACCTGCAAAAACAACATAAAACTATGTTATAAATTATCATCTGATGGAAAGAAAGAAATTTAATATCAATTCTATTTTGTCTGATTTCAATATCAATTTCAAAATTAATTATTATATGATGTATATAATTCAACCCTCAAATAAAAAAAATAGTTCTTTGCATAATCAATGTGCTTAAAGCAAGATTAAACCACTCTAAAATTTACTTTCTCACCTTATTTCATACAATATCTCAAAGATATAAGGTGTTTTTGACACCTTGTCAAATTACGTGTCATGACTTAGGGCATTCAAGCTGATAATAACAGCAAATTTAAGATCTAGGTAGGTGTTAACTTTAAATCAGTGGTCTCAATACTGGGGTCAAATAAAGAACAAAACAAAGAATTGGGACTGAATCTGGTGGTCTTAAAGGTGGATAAGTGAGCTGGTCTTAATTCTGGATCATGAAACCGTTGACATAAAGAACAGAAAATTCCGTACTGTTAAAAAATGGTCTCAATAGCGGGGTGGTCTTAATTCCGGGGTGGTCTTAAGTAGGGATTCTACTGTATTTTTTATTTGATTTCTTTTTAAATATACATTTGTAGTCTAGAGCCAGGCAAGCCAATGCCTGTGCTCGCTTCACCCTCCCTGTCTTTGACTTCCCTGTATAGTATAACTTACTTAACGAAATGTAGTTACGAGTTGGCAAAAAAAATGACAAAATTGTCTTGGGACAAGTTGGCTATAGAGATACTATACTCATAGCATTTACTTTCACATTAAATTTAATCTCACATTTTAGATGAACAATACACTGTCACAGTAACCAAAATAAGAGTGACCTAAGTTTTAAATGGAAACAAATACAATATATGATAACAGACGCCAAGGAGACAAACAATAATCGATGCATGCGCGGACATTAAGAATAATTTTCCTGCGATTAAATGACAAACAGTGCACGGCAAAATGAACAACTAACATAACAAATAAATCGACCCGTAACATTTCTTTAAAATCATAAAGTAATAACTTTCTTTTGATAATGTTTAGCTTGACTGTTCAAATAATAGGGAGAGCTATTGTATTCAACCTGGTGTTGCAGTACTCGTCACACTTTGGTTAAAAGTTTGCATGAAAGTTGATATCTTCAAAACTACAGAAGGGAATGGGTTGAAACTTCACAAACTTACTTGATAGCATAATAGGAGGTCACTTTCCAGAATCCAAGGCCCATAACTTTATACATTGATTTAGACAGAATAATGGCCCTTTTTGAACTTAGAAAATTCTATATTATCCAGGTTCTTGTTGTACTATCAGGCACTGAGAATAGTTGAGCACACTGTTGTACTAACAGCTCTTGTCTATAAATATCATCAGAACTCTTAAGATTTAACATTACTAAGTTAACAAGAATAAATAGTCATAATGAATAAAATAATAGTATTAAGATATCAAGTGATCTACTTGTACATGTATGGTTACAAGGATAAACCAGATTTTATACAGTGAAAGTTATTCTACTCTAAACCTTTTTATGTTTTTACGTGTATCAAATTTCAAATATATAATTATATTCCTTATCATCACCCACATTATGTGAAAAGGCTCATAACACTAGCAAGGAAACTTCTAAAGTTATCTCCTCCTTGAACTTTGAGTTTTTTTTCTTTAACTGTTAATTCTTTATTACTTAAGCCAAGTTAAGGTATATGTACTTCAAACCTTAGATGTTAACATTATTAGCTTTGCATCACTTTCAAGGGGGGAAAAAAGAGGAAATATTTTATACCTGTATTATTTTATGTTGTTGCACAGTAAAATGGCTAGTAGACACCGTGAACATTTGTCGGGATATCTTGGTGCTCATAAAGCTGGTAAACCAAACAACAGCTCCTTGTCAAAATCAAAGGCAACTACTAGCACAGAACAAGGAACTGTTCAAAGGTAATGTGAGTTTTTTTTATCTTGATACTTTTTTTCATTGAAGAATAGAAATAATTCAATATGAGCATAAATTAAAAAAAATTATTACAATAAACTCCGCTTTTAACGATATTCAGGGGACTGCCGGCTTTATATTGATATATCCGGATAATGGGATATTGTTGTTATTGTTATATTATCCGGGGGGCAACCAATGAAAACATGACTGGAGACCACGGCAACAGCATCGTTATAAGTGGTATATCGTTATCAGTGATATTGTTGTTAGTAGAGTTTACAGTATGTACATTGTATTTTGTCTTCTGAATAAATTATAATTAAAAAGATATGTAAGAAATGAGCACACCCAATATGACCTTACTTAACTCAGCATTGATGAACTGTGATTTTTCTAGCAATGTACATTTATCTTAAATAATTCATCAAGGACCCTTATGCCCCTCTTGTTAATTATCATAACTGTTTATGATTGAAAATCTGTCAAATTCTATTACAGTCAAAGTAAAGATGTACCTGTTCTGTTCACATCTAGTGCAAGATCTCGTGCAACTTATCTGTCTGCAAAAACAAGACCGGTTGTCAAAATTACTGGAAAAGCAACAATAAATCAGTAGGATTTCATTTCGTCAAATTATATCTGATACAATATTAATATAATACAACTCTTAAAATTAAAAAAAAACAGCTTAACATTTCTAACCGGTTCTGCGATTATGAGACTGAAGGAGAATTTATATTTTTTACAGACTTTTTCAAATGATGTAAAATCCTATTAACTTGTTAATTAAAACCAGCAATATCTCAATTTCACCAATAATATGTAAATATAAGCAATTTAACTTCTGTTATGCTATATAAAAGGTGTAGCACTAAAATTATATAGAATTACAATTTGTTTATTGTGTACTCCAGTGCTTAAAAGATTTTCTTGATTATTTTGCTTTACATTAACAGTTTACCAGATGAGCTGTTGCTGAAGATATTTAGCTATCTGGATGCAGGGCATCTTCTGTTGGCAGCTAGAGTTTGTAAGAGGTGGCTTCCTGTTGCTAAAGACAAGTCAGTTTTATATTCTATAGAATGAATAATTTTGCATTTTGAGTAATTTTTGAGGGTTTTGACTCAGTTACTGTTAGTTTTTTACAAGATTTCAAGATTTGTTTAGGTTGTTGCTCGGCATTTTCTGACAATGGATTGTTAAGTAAATGTTCTCAAGAAAAAAACACCTCTTAATATATTTCACAATACAAAATGTAGTTAAGTTGATAAATTTACCAAAGGCATACTAGTATTTACTTTTTTGATGTGAAATAATTGGACCATGTGTCTCACTTGTTCTTGTTACATTTCAGTTTGTTATGGTGTTCTTGTTACATTTCAGCTTGTTATGGGAGAGGATTGTTGCCAGGTATTGTGGGCCATCAACATCAGCTTCTAATCAGACATTACAGTCTGGCCAGAACACTTCTGCTGTGAGCAGTAAAAATCTTTTTATCAAAAGGTATACTATAGGTCTTTAATGCTGAGGCAAATATTTTCGATGGATATTTAACTGTCACTTTGTTCTTTATTCATTATGTGTCACCATATCTCATAGAGCATCTAAACAGACCAATATCCTACATATTTGGTACATGGTACCTTCCATGGTCAACTACTCTTGGATGTTGTTTCAGATTAGTAGGGTTAAGGTTTTTGATACTAAAAATAGATTTATATGCCATACCTCATTAAGGCCATATTTTAAGTGATATCAGGGGAATCCATCTGTCATTACTTATTTAACTTGCTTTTGCAATACATTTTAGTATAAAGTATAATCCCTAAATTGTTAGATAGGCCACAGACTCGGGGCAAATGTTCATGTATTACACATTTTCTTTTTACTTTTTTACAAATACACAAATCAGTATAAAATTATAAGTAATTGATGTAGGGACACATTTCCATGGTGAAAAAGTCGAAATATGACATGGCATAAATCAGTCCCCATGAAAACTACAACTATTTTTTTTCTTCAGTGTTTCAAGCAGTAGGAATAAGAAGGCATTGAGGTTTTTGAAGAAGATCAATCCATTTACAGGACTATCTAGAGATACAGACAAAGCTTTGAAGTGAGTCAAGTGTTTATAAATCACTGGAAAAGTAAAATTTTTCACAGTTTACCTTGATTTTTTTATTTGAAAGATGCTTGCTACATTTGCAAAGTGGCTGCTTCTTATTCCAGGATATTGGGTACAAGCCACACTTTTGACATAACCATGTTTCCTCATGATACTAGCATTAGTCAGTGTCAGGAAAAACTGACATCGGCATGATTCTGACAGAGAAAATAGAATCTGAAAAGATAATAGTAGATGAAAAACATTGAATTTGATTTCCATAAAGCATATACAATGTACATTGTACAATAAAAACCTTTGAAGAATGCCTGATTTGGCAATATTTAAACTGCTACAGACTGATTTTGTTCATGAACTGAAGTGTTGAATGCAAGCTCCCTTTCAGCCTCTTTACACTACTTAAACAAAATATAAAAAGTGTTGAAATTTAGAATCAATTAGCATCAGCATATGTCTTACCTTTGGTTAATTTCTAAAATTAACTTGCTATAAGAATTATATAATGCTATAGCTATGTTTCATGATTTGTGTGTTTCAGATCAGCCGGTGTGTATTTTCAGCTAACTTTAATTGACCAGTATCAGAATGAACATGTTTTAAATAGCAAGGATGTTTTCTACCACCAGATGGCAGCAACAACCAGGTGGTATGACCTCGAGGTGCCCAAGATTAAACATATCAAAAAAATTCAAGTACATTCCATAAATCCTTTGTTCTTTAATAACAAAGGGACTGCTATATATAACAGGTATGGAAATCTAAATATATCTAAATTTGTTCAGTTAGCTCAATAGGTAGAGTGTAGAATTGTGAATCGGGCGACTCGGGTTTGATTCTGGGACAGTACAGGTCACTTTTGTTGTGATTGATTATTTAATCCTTTCTATGGTCGTTCCCACTGTACTTCTGCTCTGATATGTACAGAAGTTTTCTGTTCCTTGTAAAAGTGAAGGCAACTTGTACTGGTTAACTGTTTGACAGCCTGTCCAGGAACGATGCAGTGGCTGAACTGTGCTGTGATAAATTCATGAAGGCTTATTGCCATGATTAAGAGTGAGAACTAGCAACACCACCACCAACATATATCTATATTTTTGGTTTCCATTTCTCTTTTATTCTATAAGAACAAATTTAAGCATGGTGGCCATCAATATATACCTACAGCATGTTTAAATGATTTTTTTTCTTCTTTTTTTTCTGGGAAATACATGTTACTGGTGACATTTATAATGAATTACGGGTATTAGTAATTGATGAAATAAAAATATTTTGTCACAGGCAAGAAAAGTATTCAACATGCAAAAATAATAAACAACAAACAAACTTTAGGATAATAAGAACTGTATACAGACCTGTTTTTAGAACAAATAAGCATAAATTATATCCTTTTTATTACAGTCCCTATCAGAGATCATTATTGCTGAGTCATGATTTAGACTGGAACAAAGTGTTAAAGAGAATAACCGACTTCGATAATCTCCATCTTTTATTTCTACCAAATGGGTTTGTATTGTGTCTGGAAAGGGTAATTTCCTTTTTTAATTCTTTGAGCTAGTTTCAATAATATTATACTTATGCCACTTGTTTAGGGTACCAATGCACTTCCAAAGACATATAACTCTCGAATAGATTTTGAATTGAATTTTGCCCTTTGTGAACTTTAAAAATTCATTGGTCACTTTCATTATACATGTATCAGTACTGATATACAGGATGTCTCGTAAAGAAATAAAAATGACACTGTTTACAGATGTATATCATGATAAAATATTGAATTGCTACTTATTACTTTGCCTGAGCTGTAGAAGTTTAAAGATGTATTTGCATTGCAATACCCGTTGTCCCCATATATGCCGCAGAAAATGGTTGCAAATGGCATATTGTAATACATTGTAATATAATACACATATTTCACCTTGCTGTCCTGTGTGATCCTGGTCTGCACTGTTCAATCAATACACATTTTCAGTAAAAATTATGTATGGTTTTGTCGAGATTGAAAGATGGACAATTCCATTTAAGATATTTACTAAGGTAAGGATTAAAATGTATTCATTTAAGGATTTTAATTACAAATGATGTATATGTACTAAGCATTATATATACGCTGTTAACTTATGCTGTAGTGTAAAATGTTGTTGAATTGGCTGTGTTTGTTTCAGGGTGACGGTGAACTAGCATTTGTTTCTATGGGTCTACACTGTAACCAACTGGTTCAGAGATGTCTGCTTGGATCATCTGATATGTATGTTAATATGATAATACATGTACATATAATACATATAATATACTTATATAAAATCATGTATGTGATATATTAAAGATCCTGTAACACATTTTTTTCATGGTTTTATTTCATAAATATGATGCTCAAATTAAGATTTGTCAATCTTGTAAGTTCAAATAAGCATTATTTATAAAGATATTACCCAATTTAACATTTTGGGTAAATAAAGGGAGGTAATTAGAAATTTATTTTCTATAAATTCCAAGTCAAATTTTCCAATAAGAAATGAATGCATGTAACTTATTGATTAAATATAATGTGCACAAATATTTGCAGTACACATTTTACATATTCTTGGATGTTTGAAAATTGTTTCATTTGCATAATTATATACATATATAATATTTTGCAAGTGTGTGATACATACAGTAACAATATCAATCACAAAACACACAGGATCTTTAAAGTTAATGTATTTCAAAGGACAAACATTGAGCAGCAAGAATTAACAACATTAACTACTTTTTCTTCCCAAGTCAAGTACAAAATAACAACGAACATGTTTGCATCGGCAGTAATGATTCTGATAGATACAAGTTGATTGTAAATTACATATAATAAAAAGACTTATGTAAAATGAAATAGATAAAACCGAAAAGGACATAAGTAAAATGAGATTTTTTTGTATATATTTCAGTCCATATGATATTGGCACACACAAAGTTATACCTGATGACATAGATTCTTCCTATGGTAGGTTTAATCAACAGTTTACACTGATCAATTTATGACCAAGAAATATAAAAGCATTTATTATTGCTTAACTTCTCTTAGAATGTTGTGAGATACACTTGGATTCCAAAGTTCTTTACCAGAGTGGTAAGATGTTAACATAATTTTTTCTTCACTGAACACAGTCCTGTCTTATTGGCTTACTTATTTGATAAATTTTAGAAGAGTTACAGCCCTTGACATATAGCTCAAGTAAACTTTTCATTAGCACATATGATTTTGCTTGACATCAGCTATTCAATTTCAAAATAAAAATTGGCCTAAATTTACCAAATTATCATGTTTGCCCTTCCTCCCATCCTAACTATGATACATGTATTTTCATAAAACCTTTCAGATAATTCACATATAATGTACATTATATGAAATTAGTTCATGATAAAAGAAAACTATTGCATGATAGAATTATTATTAGCTTTTTATCATTTTAGACTTAATCTCCTTCTATCACATTGCATGTTTAGCATTAGTAGCTATAGAAAATGTTTTGTTTTTTTTTAATTTAGAGGTTCCGGTATTCAGAGGATATTTTTCAATGAACTTACAATATATAAGGAAAGACTTTTATAATAGTCTGGTTTTCAGAGGAATCAGGTTTTCAGACAGTCCAGTTTTAAGAGCTTTTATTGTACAGTAGAACTTCGGTAAGTCGAAGTTGATGGGACTTGTGTAAAAACTTCGACACATCGGGACTTCGACTCAGAATCGCTCTCAATTCCATGACAAAATTTCGACCCGTGACTAGTCTATAACGAAACCTATTTCATGTTTTTTCCATCATTAATCTGATATTCATATTTTACAATGATAAATATAGCATGTTAAATAACGTTTTTCACGGCTAATCATTTGGACTACCCGTTGACGTATACAATAGAGTTACAAAAGGCGTAACAATGCGAAAGGGCGATCACATAACCAACTTATAGTATATATTTCGCGTGTTATTCTCACGCGACACCGGGTCAAGGATGTAATCAAATGAAAGTAGTTCTTACTGTTTACTTTCAAATACCACTACGGCAATTAAAATAGTAACGATTGAAGCATTTTTTCACACATTTAATCGCAAACAAAGGCTGTTTGAACACACGGCTGTGTAATTACCACCTGTCACACAAGTTGATTGGAAATCGTCTTCGCAGCCAGATCAGGTGTGAAAAATGTCTCGAGATCGACGATGTCAAAATAATCGAACAACTTCGACTTATTTGTGGTAAATTGCACTAGATTTACTTAACACGGACCACGAAAAAACTTCGACACATCGAAAAATTCGACACATAACATCTCGACTCATAAATAGGTTTTTATAAGGAATATATAGGGGGAAAAGTCGGGACTTTAATTTTTCTTTGACACATCGAGAAAATCGACTAATCGAAGTTCGACTCATAGAAGTTCTACTGTATTTGTTTATTTATTTCAAGGTTTGCATGATTACCAGTGTACTGTAGAGATCAGAACTTCGAGAAACTCAATATGGAGTCAACAATTTAACTGTCTATCTTGTAAGAAGGAGAACATAGGTATATAACTTGTTAAAGTATTCATTATAAAGAAAATTCTTTCTTGAAAATGATAGATAGGTACCGTATAAGTGGGTTTTTTCTGCGGGCTTCAAATTCTGCGGTTTTCCAAATTTTGGCATTTTTTTTATTTCTGCGGACTATTTCTGCGGCAAATTCTTCGGACAAAACATGATTTAAAATCTGCAACTCATCTTATCAAAGTCTATGTCACATTTCTTTACCTACTTTATTTGTATGTACACATTCGCATTTGTTTATCATTGTCATCGCAAAATGTATAGTAGTTACAAACAATTATATTGTTTGCTTGCAAACAAATATTATGCGCAACAATAGAAAAGTATGCATCTTTTGATCAGCGTGAAATGACGTGTGAAAAATATACCCCAGAAATATCTTTAATTTAATAAAATTGATAGACGTTTACCATGAATCAGATGACAATTAAAGTATACAACGATTATTTAGCAGTATAAGGGTTAAAATTTGAATGATTTAGTGGTAAACAAACCTTTTAGCGTAACAGCAATTACTATATATGATGTTTAAATATCTTTATTCATACATTGGCATAATTAACAATAAGTCCATCCTTACAAACACAGATTACATACTTAGCCCACAGCAATTTTATACAACTTGATGACCCGCTAACCGTTATAATCTGTTAGTCGTTATGACTAAACGAAACGGGTCATAATGTAGGGCACATATTATAACAGGTTAAAGAACAAAACATGGAGGAATATTCTGCAGTGTTTATTCTGCGGTGCTGAAACTGACCGCAGAATACGCAGATATAACTTCACCGCAGAAAAAAACACTTATAGGGTATTATTGATTCATTTATACAGCAAGCATATGACTTAAAAAAAGTTTTCAGAAAAAAAAAAAAATCAGGAGAATATATGTATAATTTGATAATAAATTGATGCAAGAAATGCATTAATACTTTCCTCAGTACATGAAGATGTAGAACCATACTGACATGCTAATAGTTCCCCGTATAAAGGAGTAGCATTAATTTCCGTATAAAAGCTTTATTTTTACTTGCGTTCTTTAACCATTGGTAGAAAGTTTTCATTTGAAATCGCTTTCACCTGTGCCTTGTCAAAACTTGAACTTGCAAACATTGGGGGTTTGTGTCCTTGCGTGCATGCGCAGAAATAATGCCATATAAGGCTTGTAAAAAGGGTTTTTGTGTCACCTTGAAAAATGCCACATATAGGGGTTACTTTTGTCAGCAGCGTCAGTGTCGGCGTACTCTGTACTTCATGATTTTTGAGTTATTGCCCTACAATCGTTAATATTCATACTTTATTATGGTCCAGGCCATTTCTCCTAAACTATAAAAGCTATTGACTCGAAACTTCATAGGATGATAGATCTTATTGAGAAAAAGTGCAGTGCAAAAAAAAAAAAAAAAAACTGTTGCTCTGCACTTCTTATTTTTTGAGTTATTGCCCTTGGTTAATTTTCATTTTTCATGTTTGTCTGGGCCATTTCTCCTAAACTATGAAAGCTCTAATTGAGTTAAAGCTCAGTTCACAAAAACCAGAACTCTGTACTTCCATAATTTTTTAGTTATTGCCCTTTCTTAATTATCTTACTTTATTTCTGTCCGGCCATTTCACTTTAAAGATAAAAGCTATGGACTTAAAACTTCATAAGATGATAGATATCATTGAGAAGAAGTGCAGTACACAAGAATCGGTACTCTATTCTTCATGATTTCAGAGTTATTGCCGTTTGTTAATTATAATACTTTATTTTGTCCGGGCCAATTCTCCTACACTTTAAATGTTATTGAAACTTCATAGGATTATAGATCTCATTGAGGAGAAGTGCAGTGGACAAGAACTTGAACTCTGCATTTCATGATTTTTGAGTTATTGCCCATTGTTAATGTCCTTACTTAATAGGTTTGTTCAGAGCATAACTTGGTCACTATAAGTTTGATTGACTCCAAATTTGGTATGTAAGCTTTTTTCATTGGCCTGAAGTGCTTAAGAATCTATCACAGAGTCCTCTATTGATTTGTCTGTGTAAAACTTTTCCATGTTATTTTAATTCTTGATTATACATGTATAACAGCTTTATTATCCCCTGCCGAAAAGGCGGCGGGGGATATAGAAATAGTCTCCGTCCATCTGTCCATCCATCCGTCCGAGCAAACATTTTGGGTTTAAGGGCTATGTAACAGTAAAGAGAATCAAAGAGAACAACAGGTTCATTCCGTGATCAAAGGGTTTATGGGCTAGTAGCCCTTAAGATAACAAAAAAAACAAGAGCCATGTCAACATGGCCATTGACATGGCCATCCCCTGCTGAATGTGTTTGCTCATTGGAAGAATGTATATGTAGACTAGTAGAGCAAAATAATTCAATTTTAAGAGGTCTTTTGGTAATGAAAACTGATGGCTGAAGTGATAACAGATTTGAAATCTATGTGAATACTGATGGCTGAAAATAACAAAGGGCAATAACTGAAATATAATGCAGGGTAGGTTATCATTCTTGTGTGCTGCACCCTCCTCACTAAAATCTATCCATTTATGAAGTTTCAAGTTGATACCTCAAATACTTTTTGAGATAAGCTCCCAACAAAATAGTATGAAAAAGAACAAAGGGCAATAACTCAAAAATTATATAGGGAAGAGCTATCATTCTTGTGCACAGCATTCCTCCTCAATAAGATCTATCCACCTATGACATTTCATGTTGACATCTCATACACTTTTGAGTTATGCTCCACTCAGGTGAAAAATTAAGTATGAAAACTAACAAAGGGCAATAACTAAAAAATTATGAAAGGTAGAGTTATCATTCTTGTGCACTGCACACCTCCTGAGTGAGATCTATGGACCTATGAAGTTTCATCTTGATATCTCAAAGGCTTTTTGAGTTATGCTCTGGACAAAAATTAATTTTGAAAAATAACAAAGGGCAATAACTAAAAAATTATGCAGGGTAGAGCAATGCACTCCTCCTCAATGAGATCCATCCACCTATGAAGTTTCAAGTTGATACCTCAAATACTTTTTGAGATAAGCTCCGGACAAAAAAGTATGAAAAAGAACAAAGGGCAATAACTCAAAAATTGTATAGGGAAGAGTTATCATTCTTGCGCACAGCATTCCTCCTCAATAAGATTTATCCACCTATGACATTTCATATTGACATCTCAAACACTTTTTGAGTCATGCTCCACTCAGGTGAAAAAATAAGTATGAAAAATAACAAAGGACAATAACTCAAAAATTATGAAAGGTAGAGTTATCATTTTTGTGCACTGCACACCTCCTGAGTGAGATCTATGGACCTATGAAGTTTCATGTTGATATCTCAAAGGCTTTTTGTGTTATGCTCTGGACAAAAATTAATTTTGAAAAATAACAAAGGGCAATAACTAAAAAATTATGCAGGGTAGAGTTATTATTCTTGTGCACTGCACTTCTCCTCAATAAGGTCAATCCACTTATGAAGTTTTAAGTTGATACCTCAAATACTTTTGAGATATGCTCCGGACAAAAATGTCGGACGGATGGACGGACGGCTGGCTGGAAGGACGGACGGAGACTATTTCTATATCCCCCGCTGCCTTTCAGCGGGGGATAATAACAACGAAAATAGCCCCTAAACCCAAAATGTTGGAACGTCCGTTCTTCCGTCCGACATTTTTGTCCGGAGCATAACTCAAAAAGCCTTTGAACTCAAAAAGCCTTTGAGATATCAACATGAAACTTCATAGGTGCATAGATATCACTCAGGAGGTGTGCGGTGCACAAGAATGATAACTCTACCCTGCATAATTTTTTAAGTTATTGCCCTTTGTCATTTTTCAAAATTAATTTTTGTCCGGAGCATAACTCAAAAAGCCTTTGAACTCAAAAAGTCTTTGAGATATCAACATGAAACTTCATAGGTGCATAGATCTCACTCAGGAGGTGTGCAGTGCACAAGAATTATAACTGTACCTTAGTTTTCATACTTAATTTTTCACCTGAGTGGAGCTACACTTAAAAGTGTTTGAGATGTCAACATGAAATGTCATAGGTGGATAGATCTTATTGATGATGGATTGCTGTGCATAAGAATGATTACTCTTCCCTATACATTTTTTGAGTTATTGCCTTTTGTTCTTTTTCATACTATTTTGCCCGGAGCTTATCTCAAAAAGTATTTGAGGTATCAACTTGAAACTTCATAGGTGGGTGGATCTCATTGATCGAGGAGGAGTGCAGTGCACAAGAATGATAACTCTACCCTGTATAATTTTTGAGTTATTGCCCTTTGTTAGTTTTCAATATTAATTTTTGTCCAGAACATAACTCAAAAGGCCTTTGAGATGTCAACATGAAACTTCATAGGTGCATAGATCTCACTCAGGAAGTGTGCAGTGCACAAGAATGATAACTCTTCCCTATATAATTTTTGAGTTATTGCCCTTTGTTTTTTTATACTATTTTGTCCGGAGCTCATCTCAAAAGTATTTGAGGTATCAACTTCAACTTTATAAGTGGATAGATTTTACTGAGGAGGGTGCAGCACACAAGAATGATAACCTACCCTGCATTATTTTTCAGTTATTCTCCTTTGTTATTTTCAGCCATCATTATTCACATAGGTTTTACATCTGTAATTACTTCAGCCATCAGTTTTCATTACCAAAAGATCTCTTAAAATTGAATTATTCTGCTCTACTACATATACATTCTTCCATTGAGCAAACACATTCGGCGGGGGATGGCCATGTTGACATGGCTCTTGTTAATCCTGATGTAACATTGTTACAATCAGTTCAAATGCCACTTAAGTTAAAGGTAAGTTTAAATGCCACCTAAGTTACAGGTACATGTACATTGTAAGAGCAGTAAAATTGAATAATCACATTTAAAAAGAAAATGCCTAATTTAAGTGACAGCTATACTGTTCACAAGGGGACACATCAGACTCGTGGAGTTCTAGTTGACAAAGTGCATTTACAAAATAACAATGAAATCCAATGTCTGTCGATCAACTATATCTGTAATGTTTCACTGATTAAAATTGTTAAATAATCCTTTTGCATATTCCAGTTTGACACATAATTATTTACATTGCAATTACTTTCGTTGTAAACAGATGTTTTACTTTATTCAACAAAAAATATTTTATATACATAAAGCACTACTGGGTGCAAAAAACTAAATGTTATGGGTACCATTGTCATTCTGATGATGCCCTATCGTGGTGAACTTCTAAAAAAAGAATGAATCGAGAGAAAAATGGTGGCCATTTTATTTTATTTTATTTAGAAAATAGACCATGTGACCAGATTTTATACTGTAACAGTATAAATTTCTTAGTCACATAGTTCACTTGCATTAACAGTTAAATTAACTCCCAGAGGCCTATGGGAAATTAACATTACGAAAAAAGTGATGGGTAATAAAATAAAATGTTCCTGAAAGATGGGTAATAAAATAAAATGCTCCAGAATAAAATATATCACAGCTTTTTCATTAAGTTTTTTGTAAGAGGAGATTACTCGTATTAACCCATTACTTCATGAGCATTTTGTGAAAAATGGCTGTTTTCATTTAAAAGTCTCCCGTTACAAGTTCAAATTGCTATAAAACTGTAAAAACTGATCAATACGAACCAAACTTTGCACAAATGTTGACTGGACCATTACCTTTGTAACGATATGCTCAGTCTCAAATTTCCTGTTACCATGGCAACGAGGGGACATCTCAAAATTGCCAAAAAGCACTATTTTGCATTGACTTTTTCCATCAAAATTGAATTCAAAGTGCTGCAACTTCTCAATGGATTGAGATAGAGTCAAAGGCTTTTCAGCGTTGGTTACACGTCACCTTATAGTCGACCTGGTTACATTTTTAGCCTCTCACAAGTCCATAATTTTCTTGGCGATCAGGGGGACTACCGTCTCCCTTCAAACCCCCCAAATAGAAAGGGTCACATCCCCCTTCTGGCAACCCCCTGATGTATCTTTTGGAGGGCGGCGCTCCCGAAAAAGTGGTCACTTTTTTTAAGCAACATTTCTCAAACAAAAACAAGTGTTGGGGGCCTAAATAAGGCATTTTTTCACCATTTGAGACAACAAATAGGGGACGGGTGAAAAAGGCGTTAAAAGGCATGTATATCCGGTAATGGGTTAATTGAGCTTAAAAAAACAACAGATTGCTGAAGGGGAAATAAACATAAGGGAGATGAAACAAAATAACATATTTTGTGTAAAGTCCTCATCATAACATCAACTGCAAAATCATCAACAAATCATTTACATGTAAATGAATGATAAATATTTCTTTATCTTTTGATAATTAAAAATGAACATCGAACAAAATTAAAAAATAAACAAAACAGGTGGGTGGCTTGGAAATGTAAAATTTGTCATTTCTCCACAATGCAAAGACTTTGAATAAAGAAAAAATCGTTACAATGACTTTAATTAGTTTACATGCATGGATAATCTGTTCAGAAATTGATGCTTCAACCTTTAAAAGCTGATAGTGACAACTCACTAAAACTAGCTACATTTAATTACTTTAACCGATGATAAATACATATAAATATTATATGATAATTGTGTTTTACATTTCATATTGCCAAACTATTTATCTAAGGTTTAATTTGACATTGATCCAATATTGTAACATAATTTATTAATAATATATACAAGCAAATGATGAACTGCTTTTGTTCTTGCTATTGTTAGTGCTTTACAATGTGGGGATATTTGCAGATCACAAATGCAGTCTTGTTAATTTCACATTTAATATTTGTAGATGTTGAATTCAGTACCATTTTATTCAGATGTTGGTTTCCAGACATTAATTATCAAGCCGATCCCATATCATACACTTCAATGTAGTTTTTTCCAAATCTGCTTACATATATTTTAGTCATTTGTTTATTACAACAAACTGAAACAATTTCCCCTGTTCCACTATCAGCTTGTATGACCTCTCCCAGCAACTTACCATCAGATGTAAACTGTAGCACATTATTAGAGTGATATCCAGATACCAGTACACTACCTACTTCAGTGACATAACAATAAGTAGCCTTATTTATTTTTCCATCATTAAATCTTGATATACCTGTGTTTAGAAACAATGGATATATCGGTCCAAGTTGACTGCCAGCAAAATAAAACTTTGTCGCATCTTTACTGACAGCTAGTATGTTTCTGGAATAAGAGAATAGTGGTAGTGGTTGCTTTATTCTTATCTGTGCTCGCTTCCTTCCAGACAAAGAATAAATATAGACTTCTAAGTAATAGTCTGATATATACAAATTCTTGTTTTTGTATGCAAGACCATAACATTCATAATCAGTATAAATCTTCTTTGTTGTTTTCATTTGTCCTTCAACGGAAATGAAATGAACTTCTTTCTGTGATGGTAAAGTTACTGCTGCTTGTGTTGAATTAATTGAACACACTTGCCATGGTGCTCCAGGTAGAGGGTAGTCTATGACAGTATAGTTGTTACTGTGGAACCGGTTTAGCTTGTTTTTGTTGTAATCAGCTAGAATTATTGTACCATCATTTAGGCTGCATACACTTCTGAAGTTACTGTCTTCTTCATCAGGTTTAGCTGTAACACAATATGATTGTTTCCCTATAATCTGAAATAAAGTGCATGGAGTCTTTGGAGCTAACTCTGTTACTGTGCCAATCGCTTTATATCGTTCTAGCAATGTAAGAATTGTTTTATCAGGTTGAAACTCTATGTCATATCCAGTACTCTTGCTTTTGTTATCTGCTGTACATTCATCAGCAACATATGCTGCATCTTCCCCAATCTTTACATGAACAAACACTTCAGCTTGATTTGTGTTTGGAGATGCTAATTTTTCATTAGCTGAGGCAACCTTGGCCTTAGTATCTTGTAGTTTTTGGAGATTGTCTTCAATCTTGTCTTGAAGGTGTTTAACCTTATATGCTACCTCATCTATAGAATTTTTCTCCAAATTGTCAAGTTGGTCATTAATTCTTTGTCGAAATTTTCTGATATCAGCCAGTAACTCTGCCTTTCTTTTCAGCAGCCATTGTTTATCTTGTTTGAATTTGGTCACTTGTTCTGCAAGGGTCTTGGATATTTCCTTTAGTTTTGTTTGAATTTCTGTTGAGGCTGATTGGTAAGTGTTATTTTGGATAAATTCTGGAATGTAGACAGTATCCGGGCATGACCTGAAAACAAATTCAGAATGTCCATGGATAAATATAACAGAATGGAGTCATTTTATTCCCCCCTCCCCCTTAAACAAAGTTTAAAGGGGGATATATTTCATCCAATGTTTCGTTGGTTGGTCGTATAGTTTGACAATTAGTAAAATAGAGTTACAAATAAGATACAGTGTAACTTCTGAATTCCGGAACTTCTAAAATCCGGAAACTTCTGAAATCTGAACATTTTTCAGGGTCCCGAAATTTCTCCTTCTGTTTTCTATGTAATCAAAACCTCTGAATTACGGAACTTCTAAATTCTGTATTCCGAAAGTTTTTCTGGTAAAATTTGGTTTATATCAATTAAAATTTACTTCAAAAATCCGGAAATTAAAATGGGTGTGAAGGAATATTATACTTGTAAATGAAAAACCTTCAAAATGTCAGTATCTTCCAATTAACAGTACCCATTTATCTTGACACCTATTAGAATTACAACCTGTCAAGCATATCAAACACTTGTTTAAAGTGTTAAAATTAAGAAATTGAAAAAAATAATGTGATGAAATGAAAAAAATGCAGGAAAATAGCAGGTACTACGTGTATATGAAATATACTAAAGGATAACTTGTGATAATTAATATTATGCTATTGTATCAGCAAATTCAGTTATAGGTGATAATGAAATTTAAAATAGTAAAAGTCCTATAATTTTTGCTATTTTAATAAGTTAATCAGTTTCATATACTTTTCATCATGTCTTACTGTAAAATAGTTAAAGTATAATAATTGTACTTGTTCAGATAATTCCGAATTTCTGAATTCCGGAAACTTCCGATGGCTTGTCCCACAGGTGTTCGGTTTTCAGAAGTTACACTGTATTGCAATCAAACTTGTTTTATAGCAAGCTTATATGGAGACCTCACTTTAAAGTTCTTGTAGACAATAACTAAAATGAGGAATAAGAAACTGTGATAAAGCAAACAGGAAGCTTTTGTAAAGACCTGGTTTGGGATTGCTTTTTGGCCCTTTATGGTCAAGGTCACATTACTAAAAAAATTTAAAGTTGTTTCCTGACATTAACTAGATAAGAAATGAGATACTGTTATTAAACTCTGTGTCTAGTAAGTTATTTGGTGCCTTTGTTGAGGATATCTTTTGGACCCCTAGGGTCAAGGTCACTGTTATCAAAAATAGAAAAATGGTTTCTTGTTAATTTCTAGAGTTTTTGTTTTTGTTATCCAGATGGTCCTCTATTAGACATTTGCGGCTTATAATGAGGAACGCGGATCGAGGACAAGTTATATAAAAGGATAATCTCAAAATAATCGAACATTTTATAATAAATGATAAATTAAAAGATTGGGAGGGGAGAACAAAACATCAAAACACCAGGTCGGTTTCTATATTTATTTAAAGGGTACTATATACCCTTCATCAGGTTATCCTTTTATAATAAATGAGGTTTCTAATTAACGGATAACTCCAGCATTGCCAACGATATTTTGTGTTAACGTAATATGGCTTTGAAACCTTGCACACTTGTTCACCATCATGACCCCAGGCAACCTGTAGATAGGAGGAGGTAACTTTATCAAGAATTTTGACAGAATTATGCCCCTTTTTCAACTTAGAATTCACGTTAAAGTTTTTGTAATTCCACAAATATTTTCAAAGTCCATTGACACATGGCTTTAAAACTTTGCACACTTGTTCATCATCATGATCTCAACCTGTAGATAGGAGGTAACTTTATCAAGCATTTTGACAGAATTATGCCCCTTTTTCGACTTAAAATTTACGTTTAAGTTTTTGTAATACCTCAAATATTTTCAAAGTCCATTGACATATGGCTTTGAAACTTTGCACACTTGTTCGCCATCATGAACCCCACCTGTAGACAGGAGGAGGTAACTGTATCAAGCATTTTGACAGAATTATCCCCCTTTTCTGACTTAAAATTTACGTTAAAGTTTGCATACCACCTCAGATATTTTCATACACTATTGAGATAATTGACATCTGGCTTTGAAACAAGTTGAAATTTTATACTCTTCTTTGAGAGCATAATAGGCCTTTATCTGTAACATGGATCTAAGGGAAAATTTGGCCATTTTGTAAACTAAGAAAATTTTACATTGTCAAGGCCCTTTTACTATCAAGCACTAAGAAAAGTCGAGCGTTGCTGTCCTACCGACAGCTCTTGTTTTAGTTCAAATAGAAACATGGAATTTAAGCCCGGATCCCGTCTTACACTGACGATACACTTGTTCCTTTTTCAAATAATGTTGATATCATAAAAGTCGTTGGATGTGATCGTTGCCAAAGCAAAGTACTTAACGATAGTTGGGTTGTTTTATTTAAAGAATAATGCAAGTGTTGCGGGTGTCTCATAACGTAACTTGAAGAACTTGTATAGATCTATGTGTGCATTTGAAATACATTTCTGCCACTTCAGTAAGAATTGTGGTGGGATTATAAGCAAATAAAAATCCTACCGAAAAAATGATCAGTTACAGTAAATCTGCACCAAACTCATATATATATATATTTAGACATCATATGTAGAAAAATGGCTTTCAAACCCTGGGTAAATTGCAATAAAATTTACCAATGTCTATCTTACTGACGCATTATGCTGTAGCATTATGCTGATGTATTTTTAATATTCCATATATAATTTATATCCTCCATAAGGCTTTAATTAGACAGTCTTCTTCAATTGAAGAAGGTTATTAGTTCAGGCCACATGATACCAAAGACATGAAAATTGTACTACACAGCTCCTGGCTTGGCGCTCAGCATTAAAACACTGATGAATATAAATAATTATTAAATGTTTAATATATGGAAGTCAAGCAGTTGCACACCTCTGTTCCATGTGGGAAATTAGATTGTGCACTATTAAGGGAACCTGTTTAGATCCTACAATAGACAGACTATCAGTATATGACTGAAAAAGTATTGAAATATCTGGAAAAAAGTGATCCATCGGAAGCATTAAGAACAGCAAAAGAAATCATGAAAATTGCAGACTCGGTTTGATTGGGTCTGTACTTAATGGATAATAAAAAGTGCAACAACCCTCACGCCCCCTAGCACCGGCTTAAGTGGGACTCAACTCTCAACACTTAAAAGTGCTGGACTCAATTATGCCAAAGGACCAGAAAAATACAGCAACACTGAAGTGAAGTACAGGGCACCTTTTAACGGCTGCTACACGGCACTTGACACCTGCTAATTTGATGTATACATATCATTTCAATTTCACTTTTCAACATTTTCAAATTATTGCCAGCGCTTTAGGCCATACACCGTCTTGAAAGACGTTTTTTGAGTTAAGGGTTTAATGCCAAAAAAAACCCAGTAAGGTGCAGTTCCTATAAAAAGGACCAGGCATCTAAACCAAGGGCAAGCTTAAGCGGCTCACATGCAGCAGTTATTGCTAGGTCAAGCTCTGATAAATCTTAACAGATGTATAAATGAGGGCCAACATGGACAGCAGCTTGCCCCCGCCTAGTCCCGAGACAACTCGAACCCAGTCCAGTCCTACGTAAACTGCACAACCGAGGTTGTAGTCAAGACATCAAGATGACCATGCTAAAGCTGGCAAACGTTTTGTCATCATCAAAGGACGAAACTAGTGATGCACGTCAGCACACTAGACAAAACAACCGTCAACAAACGACCATTGGCTGAGCTTTCCGAATTTACTTAGGGAACTTGTAGTTACTAAAATGAAAATAAAGATGTTAGAAAGGAGACATAGTAAAATATTTTGGCCTTATTTGAAGTGCTCATAATATGTGCTGAGATGACGTCTAAATATTAGCGTAACTGTTCCTCGATAATCGTTCCCGACATTTTATCGCAAATGTCTATTACAAGGCATTGAATAATAATTATTTTCGGTACATAGATGAAACATCATAAATTAAATTTAGTTTCAGACAAATAATTTTTCTTGTAATGGCAGGCCGGGTATGAATCCCCTTTAGTGAAAGCTCTAGTTTTCTTTAACATAGCTTTTATGTTTTGAAGCTATAATACTCACCATAAAGTGAGTGATTAATTGTTAAAATTTACCTGTGATCAACTGCCATACATGTAGAACAGCCAACATTATCATGGTTCTGACAGTACATATCAATGTGTTTATGACTGTGTTTGCCACATCTCTCTTCTGGTGCCCTCGGCTGACCTTTAATGATTCCTGATGTAACTAGAGATTTGTCCAACATATTGTGACTAGCACACACAGGCACTTTACTATGAACTTGGACACAATTTATACAGAAATAATCTTGGCAGTCCACACAGAATTTTACACCTTCGGAGTTTTTGCAGATTGTACATAGTACATCAAATGTTTCATCAGAAAGCATATCCGTATTTATCCACCCACCGGTAGCCATCTTGCAATTTACCTTGTTTAAACAAAGTTAATTAGTTGATATGTACATTAACAACACAGCAAGATAGAGACATACATTGTCCTTATTTCGTGTCACTTTCAATTTTTAAGCACGATCTGAGATAAGCATCGTATACGTCACTGATAAGAGACCTGTTCTTAAAATAGCCACATACATGTATAGGCCTATCGTAAGTTTCGGACAAAGAATCTGGATTAATCTGTAGACATCTACAAAATAATGGTTACGAATACTTTTATTCACATTTCTCTCAATGAAAATGATGTTTCTCGAAAGCTAGTCTCAATATTTCGACGGCAAGACAGACCGATTTTATAATCTGATATTTCATAGATGTCTGTCGAAGGGCGGCCATCGTCTATATAAAAAAGCCCTAAAGCGCACAATTTGTTGGGCTACTCGAAAGCGTGATTGAGAAGCATTCTTATGTATAAATACGATGATGATGATTTAAAAACATCTGGAAAATAAAGATGGTGAAAAAGAATTGCTTTCTGTGAAAAATGCCGGCGCTAAGCAATTTGTTTTTGTTTCACTATTTATCAACATTTGAAATGGTGAGATGATATTGTATGATTTTAAGAATTTGAGACGTATCTTTCTGTCCCAGATATACCGTACGAAATTTTGTTTCTATGTAAAATACGTAAATTGGAGATATGTCATGAATCTATCCACCAAAGTGCTACGATCATTAGATTAATGATTAATATCTTAATTCTTTGATAATTTTGGAATAAGCAAAACGCTGCATTTTCCCCATTTTACCTTATAAAAAAATGCCGATTCTAGTATTTGTTTTATCAGAAATAATGTATACGTACATGGCGCATGCTTGCATGTATATTTATACCCCCAAAAACGAAGTTGGGGGTGGGGGGGGGGTATATAGGAGTCACCCGATGGTCGCCTCTGGTCGGTCGGTCGGTCCAGACGTCCGTTGCATTTTCCTTGTCCGGAGCATAACTTGAAGACTAATGATTGGAATTCAATATAAATACATACAATGGTCAAGCACTTTGAGAGGAAGTGCAGTGCACACGAACAATAACTCTATCTTTACTAATTACAGAGTTATTGCCCTTTGTTTCTTTTCCTTGTCCGGAGCATAACTTCAAAACTACTGGTTGGAATTAAAAACAACTTCGTACAATTGTCAAACACAATAAGGGGAAGTGCAGTGCTCAAGAACCATAACTCTATCTAAAGTAATTACAGAGTTATTGCCCTTTGTTACTTTTCCATTGCTTTCTTTTGTCTGGACCATAACTTGAAGACTAATGGTTGGAATTCATTTTAACTTCATACAATGGTCAAGCACATTGAGAGGAAGTGCAGTGCACAAGAACCATAACTCTATCTTGACTTATTACAGAGTTACTGCCCTTATTTACGTTTCCTTGTCCAGAGCATGACATGAAAACTACTGGTTGGAATTCAAAACAACTTCATACAATGGTCAATCACAAAAAGGGGAAGTGCGGTGTATAAGAACCATAACTCCATCTTGACTAATTACAGAGTTATTGCCCTTTGTTACTTTTCCATTGCTTTTTTTGTCTGGAGCATAACTTGAAGACTAATGGTTGGAATTCAATATAACTTCATACAATGGTCAAGCACATTGAGAGGAAGTGCAGTGCTAAAGAACCATAACTCCATCTTGACTAATTACAGAGTTATTGCCCTTTGTTACTTTTCCTTGTCCAGAGCATAACTTGAAAACTTCTGTTTGGAATTCAATACAACTTCATACAGTTGTCAAGGACATTATAAGGAAGTGCAGTGCACAAGAGCCATAACTCCATTTTGACAAATTACAGAGTTACTGCCCTTTGATACTTTTCCTTGTCCGGAGCATAACTTAAAATATACTGGTTGGAATTCAAAACAACTTCATACAATGGTCAAGCACATTAAGAGGAAGTGCAGTGCACAAGAACTATAACTCCATCTTCAGTATTTATAGAGTTATTGCCCTTTGTTCCTTTTCTTTGTCTTTATGGACTTATTAGAGAGTAATTCAATAAAACTTCATCAATGGCCAACCACATTGAAAGGAAATGCAACATACAAGAACCACAACTATCTTTAATTGCCCACAACCATAACTCTATATTTCAATTCTTTTACAAGGTATTCTGTTACTAGTAACATCCTCATTTCTGAAGCAGTCTTGTGGGGGTATTAATCACATTTAGTGATAGTTCTAGTTAATTTTGATTGTCTTTTTGAGGTCAATGATTTAACATACATGTGTACACTGTATATGTACAGACAATAAAATATAAGTCATTTGTATTTTTATTTCCCTTGGATATCATATGTCTCACACAAACTATTTGTTAAAACTATTTGTTGTTAAAATCATCGACAATTACTGGTGCATTTTTTAAACTTTTTTTCATTAACAAGGTGTAAAGATGTATATATAGAGGCCAGAGCAGATCGTGACATATGTTTAAATGTAACTTAAAAGTACAGTGTTCAGTTGTCCCTTTTCTTTGCACACTAAATTCCATTTCCAACTTGTTTCCACAATTGTATAAAATTTCTTAAAATATTGCATGTAAACAAAGTATCCGCTGATTAACATCATGTTTAATGTGTACTCCCTAATCGCTTGTCCGAAAGTCAGTGTGGTGATAAGGTAAAATCTATTTTTAGAACAGTGTTACCTTCAGATCGAAGCCTATTTACTGTCACATCTCTCCAAGTCTTTTCTGTTCAAATGTTTCCTTAACTGCTCATATAATAACAAGAAATGCATTGATGCAAAGCATCAAAGGCGACGCCAAAAAAATTTGATCAAGTTTTGCACCTAAATACTTAACAAAAGATGTGTACTTTATAGCAGTACCATTACATGTGACCTGGAGGCTACGGCCCGCTAGGCCCAATTTAAGTTGAAACTTAAATCAAAAGGAATAGACCCTGTCTTGCCATGATGCAAAGACAATTTTTAATCAATTAACAAATCAGGAATAAGACTCATGCCATAAGAATGAATTTCTTCAGATTTATTTTACCAGATACAAGGATACCTGAGTCATCAGAATAATGCATGCTTAGGGTTGCAGATATGTCATTGACTAAAAGAGGACCTAAAATCACACCGTATTACCGGCGGCAGTGATGGCAGATCACTGCAGTGATGGCAGATATCTGAAAATTACCGATCGATACAGGTAGGTTATAAATTTGGTTGGTTTAATTATATTACACAAATACGGCCCATTTCATTGCTATAAAACTATTGTCCATTGAATGGAGATACTGTAAGGTAATTTTGGACTCGTTTTTTCCTGTTTTCAGACTATTTTGAGCAGGTTAAAAGTGGAAAGCCTTAGAAATATCCGTGAAAAATGTCTGTTTTCTGTTCAAAATATCTCAAGTTTTAAGTAAATGGCAGGATTTCCTGTTATCAATATAGACGTTCATCCATTGGGGTCACGCAAGCCAAATATCTACTCCGTGAGTCTTTTCTTGAAAGTTTTACAGACGCTCAATCTTGTCCGGTCGAAGAAAAAATGCTGCCGTTGTAGGCAGATACATATTATAAATGCTGCCGTCGATGGCAGAAATACCATGAAAGTGGCTAACATTCTGACAGAAAATCAAGTTCAATCTTTTATCAATTCCTCTTTTCTTTTTGCGTCCTTTTAGTTCAGAATTGAGACGTTAAACTATTCATTTCTAATATTTTCTCAAGATAGAAAAGTTATTAACCCATTACCCCATGAGCATCTTGTGAAAAATGGCTGTTTTCATTGAAAGGTCTCCCGTTACAAGTTCAAGTTGCTATAAAACTATAAAAAACTGCTTCAATACTAATCAAACTTGGCACAAATGTTGACTGGACCATTGCCTTTGTAACAACATGTTCAGTCTGAAATTTCCTGTTACCATAGCAACTAGGGGACATCTCAAAATTGCCAAAAATCACTATTTTGCGTTGATTTTTTACATCAAAATTAATTTCAAAGTGCTGCCACTTCTCAATGGATGAGAGAAAGAGTCAAAGGCTTTTCAGCATTGGTTACACGTTACCTTATGATCGACCTGGGGCCATTTTTAGCCTCCCACAAGTCCAAAGTTTTCTTGGCGATGAGGGGGACTCAGCCCCCCTTCAAACCCCCCAAACAGAAGGGGGCACATCCCCCTTCTGGCAACTCCCTGATGTATCTTTTGGATGGGGGGGGGGCCGCGCCGAAAAAGTGGTCAATTTTTTAAACAACATTTATCAAACAAAAACAAGTGTTTGGGGGCCTAAATAAGGCATTTTTTTCACCATTTGAGAAAGCAAAAAAGGGGGGGGGGGGGGGTGAAAAAGGCGTAGAAAGGCGTATATATCTGGTAATGGGTTTTAACAGAAAATGATGAAAAAAAACGAAATTACCCAAAAACGCCGTTTTCCATGTTAAAACATGCCTCACATATAAATTTTGAAGAAAAATTGCTGTTTTGTAGATTTTTTTTATTGTTTTCATTTAATGCGATATGTTCATCGCAAAAAAAAAAGCTTATTAGCAACATGCAAGTTACAATACAAAAAGTTATGATTTAGTACCACAAAATTTCACTATAAATACAGAGAAATGAACAATGAAAAACTTCATTTTTCTATATTCATGCATGTGTGCTTGATCTGATGTGTCGTCAGTTTACATGCATACAATACTATATGTATCTTAAGTTTAGCAGCGCACTCCCTTTTTTAAGGCAAATAAAGGCTGAAATTTACTTAATCGGCGCAGATTATAAATTATTAAATTGATGTAATAAAGGGGAGACTATTAACCTCGCAACTGGCATCAGTGTATCATAAAACAATGTATGTTAATGTAAAATGGAAAGATAATATTATTGACAGTTCAAATATTTTCCTTATATTATCAAGTTCTTGAAAAAACACGACACAACGTTGGATTCATTTCTTTAATTTTCATGTTTGTAATAGCGTTGTAGTTTGCCTTTAAATTTCATTTACTATGCTAAACTATTAACAACAGTTCTAACATCACGTGCTCCCATTTAACTATATATTTTTTCATTCATTTTAGCTGTAACCATGACAACTTATAAAGATGAACCTTTCGATGATTCATATCACAAGATGAAAATAAATCCTGTATTTATAGGAAAAAAACTAGAATTTTTTATTTGTTATATTCTTTTTCTCTTTTTTGACCTTT